CCCTCATGACAATAGCTACGAGGAAAAAAGAAGCACAAGACGACAAGACTAATTCATTCTCAGCATGCTAATGATAGCTGACGCTTATTTGAATATTATTCTAAAAATGAACCCAACTCATGTGTTATTTACCTGCATATCTTTGGGGAAAACATCACCGGCTGGGTGCGATGTATTTACACATCAAACATATCCCTCACTTCCTCATCACTGCTTTACTTTTTTGTGCCTTCTAGTTTTCCTCTGATGCTCTTCTGTCTCTTCTCATCTCCTGTTTTATCTCCTCTCAAAGGGCCGTCTTATATATGATTATAATCGTATCCATTACATAATCCTTATTTAAAAAAGGGCCATACTTTATGCTTCATTAAATTAGTTAAACATGCTCCACTGCTAACAGATGATCAACGGAAGGTTGTAAAAACTACTAATACAACATAGCAGCTTCAACAGACATGGCTGTAGTTAATACCTTAATTATATCTGATGTAATCTTGAATTTTTAAGGTAAGCTAATGAGAAAACATTAGAAAAGGAAGTAAAGCAGTGAAGCCTACGGCGGCTCATTTGAAGCCTCAGCACACCCACACAGGTGTTGTCACTTAGCTGATTAGACCCCTCAGCACCGTGTGGGCGTGTACAGACTGCGTTTGATTGACATCTGCCCCTCTCTACTGGCACCTTTGGGTTTCTTATTTTTTATTTCAATAAAATTATTTGGTTTAAGTGGTTGGGGTCGATATATCCTCAGTGAAACACCAAGCATGGGTTCAGCTAATGTCAACCTGTAAAAAGAGCTCCAATCAGCCAGGATGATTGAAACACTTGTGTGGGCTGGCAGGTGCTTTGAGAAGACACGTCCATCATAATCAAAGCCTCCCTGTTATCTGGCAGTACAAAAAGCTATCTTCTTTTGATTTGAATTCCTTTCACAAGTATGTTTTTTAACCTGAGTCGATTTATATTCTCCCAGCTCCAGTTTGATGTTAACAGCAATGTGTGACTATGCATATTGCACACTGTATAGCCTTTTACATTATTAAGCTTAGGTCATGCAGGCTAATAGCTAACCTTTTGAATTTGCATCAAAATGTAAAATATTGAAAATAATACATCAGTTAACTTTCTTTTTTTCTTCTTTTTTTTGCATTAACAAGGAAAATGCACGGATTCAAAGATGAAAAAGAAACACATTTTATACTACAAAAGAGAGAAGAAAAAACCCCAATGTAGTTCAAATAAAAGCAGAGGCACCATTCTAACCTCAACCATCAAATATCGTCTGATTGCAGTGTAGTTCTGCTATGAATCGTCTTTTTCTTACTACCTTGCGGACAGCCTTTTTTGTTTGCACAATAAAGACACAAAAATAGCCCCACAATAAGCATTAAGGCTGAAAAAAGGCATTACACTTCTATTCTATCCTCAGGGCTGTTGCTGTCATTAAGGTGATGACCTTGGCTTATTTGTGGAGGTCTGAGCAAAAATGAAAAGGGTATTAACATCCAGATACACTGCAAATCCATCGTGCTGGATATTTCAGAGGACAGCTCAAGTATGTTTTTGCCTTGCTAGCATAGTCACGATGGCTATTTTCGCCTGACATTTGGTAGCATCCCTTCAAAGTGCAGAATGAAATGCATGCACATATAGTGGACAGATCCCTATATGAAGATTAGTACAGATATTCAAATTGCGACAGACCCCTGACTGTTTGTGTAGTATTAGGAGCAGGGCGACAGTTTTGGTTTTTGGTGACACATATACTGTAGTTAACTCAATTTGGAGCAAATGTTCCCCATTCCCAGAGGAAGTCTTTGGGGGAACCCTGAACTTTGAGCAAAAGGTAAAATTCTCACTCATCCAATCAGTAACTCCCTCACAACATCTACTGAATGAATCTGAAGAAAAATATGTACTTTCATTTATCTCATGTATTCCCTTCTTTTCCCCTGACTTTTCCTCTATTCATAATCAGATCAAAACTAAAACTCTAATATATGAACCAGTAATGCAGAACTAAGGCCAACTAATGCCAGTTAGCACATTTAATGAGAACTTTTCTAAATATTGCCAAAATAAGTGTTGATTGAAGTTGGTGGTGAACGCGTTATGTACAGTATAATATAGTATAATTCGGCGTTCCATACATTTTTACATTGTGCTTTAAATTGGACATTAGAACCAACGCAAACAACACAAGGCTACTGGGGCACACTTAGTCCTCTGTATACCTTGTAGTCAAATTCTTCTCTGATGAATTCAGTCCGATAACCGATTTGCTTTCAATCATATAAATGACTTCTGATGAAAACACGTCTCTTATAAATGAAATTCAATTGGAGCCATTAATAAATTGTGCTGTGTGCCTGTATTTTGGCTGTTCGCTTTGAGATCCTAACATCCATCAAGTGTATTAAATTACAATTTGTTTAGCAAGCTGCGTCATCATTCTTAGTTCCTATTGTAGCCGGAGATAAAGGCTTCTAAAAACTGATGTCATTTTTGTGTTGGTTAGTGAAAGGAGACAAAAGCATATCATGTTTTTAAAATTCCCAATTTTGATCCGATGATAAAGAGGCTCAAAAGACGATTAATACACCTGCAAGGACGTGTAATGTTGAGCTTTGTAATGCTCTAAAGGCCTGACCTAATCACATTAGAGAAGCAGAATCTTAAACTGCAGCCGCTCTTTAATCTCCAAGTCTATTAGAGTGGAAAAGCCTGTTATTAATATTACTCTGATATGACACTCCCTGAGTTGTAACACAATCTCCTTCTCTCCACTATCTGATTCATATGTAAGTAGGTCAGTGGTGCCGGGGCCAGGCAATGAATGGGCTCTGTTCGCCACAGATCCACAGTCTCAAGGCAATTACACATTAACACAGGGCTCTGTCCCAATTTTCCCTCTTAAATGTGTGCCGCTTGACCCTCCTGCTCTTCCCCAACCACAACAGCACTTGCAAACATCTGACAATAAGTTTTGTGTTACTTGTGAAAATTGTGAATGAGAATGTTAAGTTAAAAAAAGTTAAAAAGCAGTCATGTAATGGATGGAAGGAAACAAGCAATCATAAATCAAAAGTAAGTTACAGCAAGAAACAGTTAGTTATCGTTAACAGCCAAAAATACATGTTTTGGTGTGTTTGGATCTTTACTGGTTCCCTCTTGTTATGTCCCTGAAATGGCAGTGATGGATCAGTAAACTGTTGTGACTAAGCCATTGGCATCGTGTAATTTGTCCAAGTGTCCCTACAAATTCAGTTCCAACTTTTCAGTTCCTCTCCATGTTTGTGGCATTTGCTATCCTGGTATAGCAATAGCCTTCCCGGTTTGTGACCATTGTAAAAAAAAAAAAATGTACAAGCTAGGAAGGAGAGGGTGGGAGTACAGCAGTTGCACTCAAAGCTAGATGTACTCTATTCATATACACTTGTCCTTACGTGAACTGTTTCCAAATTATAACAAAAGCATAGATTGATTTTTCCAAATATAATGCCTAGGTAGGAACCACTGGGTCTGAAAAACTAGCTTTATATTGAGTAGCTAATACTACTGACACGATATAGTAAATATCGTGTCAATCAAGGTGGCAATATTTCTGCAGAACAGGCACTTTTAATTGAAGGAACATTTAGAAAATGGTTATGTTTTCTTACAGAAGTAGCATTTTGAGTGCAGAACTTTAACTTCATCAATAATTTTTTTCATCTTAACTATACCTTCTATTGATACCTTTTTGTACTCCATAGTCTATCCTCCAGGTGTTCCCATAGCAGCCAAGTCTTAACTCAGCGTTTGGTGAAAGATTTGCTCCACAGTAAGTTTCCCAGAGTACTTCTTTCTGCGAGCACATCAGCATGCCCCAAAGGGGTTTTCTTACAAACCCTAAACCTACCAACATTTCAAAGAGCTGCTCTTCTCAAATGTTTCACAAGCTTCTTACATTTGGGTGCTTTTTTTTAATCCTTTGAAACATCACCTGTTGCCATAATTGGTTGGCGCTAAAGCCCATCCTGCTTTTTTGTTACCTCAACCCACTTTGATGCCCCACTTATCAGCCCTGCATAGAAGTACTTCTGCTTAGAAGGGGAATTAGCTTCTTTTTTTTTTTTTTTGCTTCAGTTTCTGCATTGCTCACCAGGATGCTGCCTCAGTAGAATCCACACACTCTGATCTGATCGTCCTCAATCCATCCTGTAGTAACTGCATTAAATATTGATCATGGTATCATGGAGAACAACTTTTTTTCTTGTTTTGCTGTGCTAGGCTAACTTTTTGGTAAGTTGCACTGTGCAAGATTTCCTGCTAATGAGATGCTTCAAGTGTTGCACGTCTTCTTATCCAACATCAATTTGATCAAAGCTTAAATATTACAGACTGTTGAAATAAGTGGTGCATCAGAATGTAAAAAATATATTCTAGTGATCACGAAGGGGGGTTCTCATTAAATGCTTCAGTGTGGAGGAGTTATTGTACATAGAATGCATGTATTTCCATACTTATCATTATGCACTGCAGGCCGTGTTGAAAAATTAGCTTGGAGGAATGAAAATGAATACATTAGCTGTCCAAAAATGTCTATCCGGAAGCAGTCTATGCTGGAGACATCAGCAGGAAACAATCCATGATAGACTGAATGGTCAATCGTGAGAAGTAGAACTTCTTCTTTCCTGTTGAGAATCTGTGGAACAATAATTGTTTGACACACTTACAACAGACTGTGTGGGTCATCTCTATAGCCCCGTCTGTATCCCACTTTAACAGACATGCACTCATTCATTAAAATAGTGTAGATATGACCTTGAACACACATTCTCACACACAAAAAGCCGAAAAGTTGTGAATGGATTTGGCCAAATGCATGTTGTAAGTCTCCATTAAAAGGAGCCTTTTCTAGCCAGTATGTGGTGGGAAAAAAAGCATGTGGTAAATTAATGACCTTTTGACTTTGTTTTCCTGTGTGCATGTAAAGAGGGCGTCTCTTACACTTACACTATGGTGTCATTTAACGTTTATTTTTTATTTTAAATAATACAATAAATATACTACAAACGAACATTGGCTTTGGTAGAGTTACAAGTTCATCACTTTTCTCTCCACTTCACAACAGCGGACATGACCATTGAAGAACTCCCGATGAAAGAAAAGGTGAGTTGGAGATCCTTTAACTCTACAAATTAGTTATAACAAGAGAAAAAAACTTTACAATTTCATGCATACAGATAGGTTTTAATGCTTCAAAAGACATACAAGAGTGGATGGCCACAGTAAACTCAAATTTATTGACATAAAAACCAATATAACTTCTATCTTCTTATCCTTACACAGGTTTGACAAGACTGTGAAAACAAACAAAACAGACAGACAAATTGTAATCTACAAAAAAAAAAAAACAATGGCAGCATCACTGCTGGTTCTGGAAATTTACAAAAAAATGTCCTTTTCTTGAAATTTGGGTGTACTGCATCACAATGAAAAATAAAGCCAAAGATCTACAAGCATATTGAGTTACCTTAACAGAAATGGTTCAAGTCACATATTGAAGATTGAAAAAAAAGGAAATAAAAAAAAAAACCTTTGTATGAAAAGCTTTAAAATTCTTGTGGTAGATACTAGTGGTCATAAGCATAGAGAGTGCATAGTTTGAACAAAGAGCATAATTACAATAAGGGCAAAAAAATAGCGATTTTTTTGATACTGCATGAGCTAACTCTTTAGTCTGCCTAATTTAGTGGCCTGCAACTATACTGCGTTTAAATCAAAAAATATAATTTCAAGTTGTTTCCCATACAAAAATGTTGATTTCAAGCCATCGAGGCCCATAAAGCTAAAATATAAAACCTTTGGTGGAGGGCTTCAATACCAAAAACATGATTGGACCATAACCCTTTGGCCCAATCACAACATGTCCCCTTCTCAACTCCATCACTTTTGTTGTGGCACAGATGATGCAACAGTGAGAGTAAAAAATTCAACGTTTTAGCACATTGATATGCAAAAGCCAACATCTGATTTTCCTGTCGTTATTCCAACATTTTGTAACAAGTTTACTTTCTGTGCGGTCCGCTGAAGCAGGAGATAACAAACGCCACCATGCTGAACTGATGGGATATGTAGAGAAATGGCATGCAAACCGCTGAACATGAAATCAAACAAAAACAGAATGGATGCAGCAAAGATCCAACTGTGTCCAAGCATGGTGGTTGAAAGAGTCAAAAAGGCAGGGTGGGAGGGGGTGGGGGGGCTTCTGGTGATGGAATATTATCACCAAAAAAATATTTTCATTCATACAACATGTAGAAAAATACATAGCACCACCGAAGTGAGAATATAGCACCTAGTTTTTTGATTTCTTTGTGTTTGCCATTCAAATGTGACATCATCTCTCATTGCATAGTCAGATAGATGAGTATTGGAGGGGGGATTAAGAAAAGACGCTTTTAATTAAGTTAATGATATTGCCACCAAAGTAGGTGTTCTGTTCAGAGGGTATAAAAGGAGGAATGTAGTATTTTTCTTATGCAAATCAAACTGTCACATAATATCACAGAGCTTGTTTCCATCTTTTATTTCCATTCTGCTCTTAAATTACAACAAAGTGTGCTCCACAACTGCAACAAGACAAGACTCCCCAATCGTTTGTTTTTTTCTAATTTACAAGTCGAATTTCCTCACTTTCCGTTGAATTCTTTTGTTTTTATTATTTTTTTATGTCATCCCCGTTTCCATCATCTCCTACCTCACAATTGACATGTCACATGCATGTTTTGAAGCCAGAAAAGCAATAAACATTACCAGGAAAAAATATACAGAATGTACTTACAAACATAAAAATTATTTATATATATTTATATATATATAAGATCCATTCCAAGAGAATGGGGAGGACAATTATGCACAAACAAAGCTCCCGTAGTGAATGAGCAAACAAAGCGACAAAAAGAAAAGTGGAAGAAGCCAGGGAGATGAAAAGTCAAAAGAAAAAAAAAAAGCCAAATCAGATGGAGTCCATGGCACATGCTGCGAGCGTCTGGTACGGCTGCAGCTCTCAGGGTCGCCTTCGTTGATTGGGTAAAAAACACCAACCTTAATCAAGTGATGACATGGGGGGCTTACAGATCTGTGCGTGCGTTGGAGTTGTGTAAGAGGCAGGATCTGACATCCAGTTTCAAAACTTGCATGTGATGGAGAAGGCACACTGAGGTTCCAAGGTTATTTTTCCTCTACTCCTATAAAAATTTCTCTGTATTCTCAACTTGATTTCAATTTACTCATACTTGTTGCTTTATGGAAAAAAGTAACTCTTTTTATTTTTTACAAATGTCCTATTCTTTTTTCACTTTGTTTTATTTTTTTTTCTGAGAAAACAAATATATGCTTTAATTTTTTTCTCCATTTGCACAGTAAACAGTCTTTAGCCCATGAAGCAGACAGGGCCCACTTCGAACCCGAACTTCTGCGTGGAGCCGCCAAAGTCGTTGAACATGATGTCCACAAATGGCACCTGCTCCACCTTTGGTGTGTTGATCTCAAGTACTGTCTTTTCATAGCCCTTTTTCAACTGTCAGAGAGAGAGAAACACAGCAGGAGGGAGAGTTAGTTTGTTCAAATATTCTTCAGATATAAAGACATCACACAGTTTTGCTTTGCTTTTATGGCAAAGCCACTTCAAAGACAAGAGGGACTTAATTCTCTGACAGCGCTTCATCATTCAAAGAACCCTGGGAATCGCCGACACAAACATCTTTTTCACTTACCGCACAGCCGTCGACCAGGGTGCGGATGTAGGGGTTGTTATCATAAGACATCTCCTCATCGTTGGAGCCCAGGAAGCGGATGGCCTTGTCGTAGTTGTCCTGCTCCTGGTCGTGCCACGCCACCGACTGGTAGCAGTTGTAGGTCATGTTCTGTCTGGCTGCCGCGCTCAGCAACCGCAAGAAGGTCATCTGGACAACGCCGATGGGGTTTCCTTCCGCATCCACGTAGGAGAGCTGCAGGAAAGATGGAGTTGAGCATCAAAAATGTAACAGCAGTAGGAGGGGACCCTTGGAGTGCACAGAGAGAGGATCCTAAAAAGATTTAGAACACACTATAATCTCTACACTGCGGTGTTTTTGTCTCTTGGGAGCCATCTTGATTTAATTTATGACTTTTAATTTGCTTTACTGCTGTGTTCGGCGTGTAGGACGTGTTTCTTATTGACAACGGAGTTGGAATAAGGAGGTGTCATCCAAGGACACACAGTTAATACACTGCTATGCTCTGGGAGAGAAAAAACATAACAGGATTGTTGTTTTTTTTTGCTTGTGCCTGGATACCACAGGACAGCACGTCTGTCCTTATCGAAGACATTCATTTTTAAAAAGTGGACTAATCTATAAAAAACACGAGGCAATGAATTTTTCAGAACAGTCACTCAGATTGGAGGAAAGCATGTATTCTTTTTGGACTATTTTCCACCTGTGGATTAAAACACTATTTATCAATAATCAATTCACTACTTACAACAGAATGCTGTATGTAGAACAACCACACCCATCACACACACACACACAATGTTCATGAAATACATTTCTGCTTGGGGGTGGGTCTTTACATAGTTTAGGATTTGTAAACAGTAAATATTATTTCATAATTCCCGGCATCAAATACTAGTGTTTAAAAAAAAAAAAAAAAAAAAAAAAGGTTTCAATTCACTGTGGTATTTCTAGGTGTCTTGCCTTGAAGCTGTGCTAATGTGTAAAGCTTAATGTGGAAAATTCTGCCTTCAAAGTACAAAAATAAGCATAACTAAACACCACATTTAAATCTTGATTATGTAATTATGTAAAATGCATATCCAATATTAGAAAATTATGGCAAGTACATGAGAATGTAATTACCTTATAGGAAATGTGTCGCAGTAATGATATGCTAATTGCCTGGTAATTAACCTAGAATTAACCTAGAATTCTTGAGCTTTTTGAGCTCATCACAGAAAAAAAACAAGATTTATCCCATTGAGCTGATTGTATCGCCTTGTAATCCTGCCTGATAACACAGCACGTTTGGAACCGGTCCCATTAGTGTCCCTAAGTGACTGATCTGCATACCAACCATCAGGAATCCATTAGATCCACATGGTTCGCTTCGTCTTTCAGACAAACAGGACTTACTGAGGGGAGAGCGCATGCAGCATCCATGCAGCAAGAGACTTGATGTATTCTTTCTCGACTTGCTCTTGCATATAAGCGACTGTTCACGCATACATACACATGCAAATACAAACCCAGAGTGTCGACACTCAAATTTGACATCAGCATCATTTTTCTCCCATCTTTTTACGCACCAACTTAGAGCTTATGACTGTTTCAGACAGCAATTGAATTGCAAAATACACATAATTAAGATTTTTTGCAATATGTCGATGAGTGTCAGCACCGTGGCTCAAAGTATTCCGATGTTTTCCACCCTTAGAGTGTCAGGGTGGCTTCATGCTTGTGTCTTTCTCACCCCACCACCACTCTTAATCCCCCCTGCCCACCCCCATCCCCCCACTACCCCGCTTAGCGTGTGGATCCAGCCCGACATCGCCAGAGACACATTACCTCTTCATCATCACAGCCGCAAGTCAACAGTGACTGAGTACCCAGACGCCCCTGGGTGGTGACTGAGTGCTTGACCTGGTCTGACTCAGAGCTGCTCTGCTGGATCTAAGTAGTGTTTTAAGGGAGACACTGGGAATGTGAGTGGGGCTGAATGGCTGCAGCACAGAGAAGGAATGACACTTTCCCCCCACGTGAGGAATGAATGACCTGCTGAGGAAACTAAAAAAAAATCTTATGTGTGAAGAGAAGTGTAAAGTGATGCATTCACTCTCAGGTGTTCTTTTTGTCTGCACTATTAAATCACTATGTATTGTTATGCTGCTGCGTCTGAGTCATTGAAGTATCAAGGCACACAGTCACTCTCAGGAGATGCTCTCTTAATGTAGCAGAGGAGTGGATATACAGCCAAGAATTTAAACAGGGAAACAGGAGTACACTGTTTTCTATTTGCTCAACTCCATTAGGTTTAAAATATATTGTTTCACTGCAAGTAAATCTTGCCTGTACCGCCCCCAAACCTCTCCTCCATTTCCCTGTAAGAGCATCACCTGTTTTGTTTTTTGGACTGAAAGTGAGTGCAGCTCGTGCTCAATCATGCACTCCAACCAACAAGCAAGGTGCCACCGCATGTACATACTTTGAAGGGCAGAACCATGCAGAGCCATAAAGGCACCCAGAGTCCACCAGGATTCTGGGCACCTCAGGCCGGACGACTTACCAGTGAACCTCTCTTGTAGTGACTATACCATGTGCCTGGCGAGTCTTTCGGCCATTTTGCCATTTTGCTCTGTAAAATATAAAAGGCATTCAGGGAAGGGAAAAGGATTTGGGAAAAGTCGGGCTTACCAGTTTACCACGTTTGAATTCACTGAACCAGGAGCCGGGATTCTCCTTAACCCAGGATGTGAGCCTAGCCTGGGGGCATACATCAACAGAGAGGCAGAGGTGGAAAAAAACAGCATGGTTAAAGCAACAGATCTAACAGAAACACATCCCCTCTCCCCTGTTCCTCCTCTTGAGGAATATTCCAGGCCTGAAACAGTACTTAACTACGCCAATCGGTCCTGGGCAGAAAATTTTAGCGAGCCATTATGCCATTTTGTAGAGTACAAACTGTAGCTGGCAGCTAATTGCTGCTGAAAAATTCATGAGTACACAGTGATTAATTAAGAAATGATCGCCTGCGAGGAGTTCTTATACTGCGGCCTCTATCCCTGCTGTTCAGTGTTAGTGCTGTGCAGCCATGGTGTACTGACTTTGTTATGCCATTAAAAGCTGTGAATTGGCCAACAGGGCACAGCTGCAATGATCTTCACTATGACAATGATGAATTTCACCATAATTAGATAGCAGGGTTTGATACGGAACTGTCATCAATAGCTTAATGCGCTAATGAATGATGTGCCGGAGATCACAATATCACTGGGAGATGGCATACATTAGAGCCACGCTGCCTTGAAGGTGACCTTCAGTTGTTTTCGCAGGAGAGGAGGGGAGGAGGAAATATATATCCTTGCTACAACTTTTCTAGAACCCTCGATAGCATGTCAGGCTATGTGATTCTGTGCAATACGTGGGCTGTATAACTATGTGCGCTTGTAAAAAATAATGCCAGCCTAAATGCATGTGGGAGTGTTTGCAGTCTTGTTCCAGAGATTGGCAACCCAGCCTTTTTTTTTTTTTTTTTTTTTAACCCCCTGACACAAATGAGAGCAGCCCATCAGCAACACGCTATAAAAAGTCTGCTTCATTATTCCTAGCTAAAGCAAACTCCTTCTCCTCTGAGGCCTGGTGAGTGGGATCATTAAAGTGGCTGTAGCACTGTGCTATAACACAACCCCTGGCTTGTCATAGAAAGTGTTCCCAATGTTTCACCACTCTGCTAGCGCTCCTCTCGTCTACACACTCGTGTATCACAAAGCAAACGTCTTCTCAGCGCGCCAGTCACCTGCCAAAGGCTTATCAGGTAATAAAGTCCTTAATGGTCTTGCATCTAAAAATGGCACTGAAACAATATCAACCAGAATGAATTCATGTGCTTTCCTCCCTGCAGTTACAAACTGTCAGAACTTAACTGACGTTAAGGATGTTTGTCCATAGTTTTTCAAAGGCACTCATTAAAACACAAAACACAAGAACTGGTTCCTACATTCTGCAGAGATAGATTTTTTTTCTTCAATACAATTGCGTAAGCTTTTATCTCTACTGTAAATAAATCTTTGTGTGGTCACAACCAAACACACACACATACACACACAAATTGAATATTGTGTCCTTGAAGGGGTTTAAATTGATACACTCACTCAAACACATTAACCTCACTTTGTGGGGTCCGTACTCTAAACAAGCATTCTATCTTTGTAGGGTCACTTGCACTCACAAACTGGATCTCAAATCCTCGTGGGTATTTTAACAGACACCTACCATCACAAACACAGTTTTATATACTTTATAAATATATATATATATCTATATATATATATCTTTGAGGGGTCACACACTTGCACATGCGTATTGTGTTTTATTGCTCTGAGGGGATTTCACATGGAGGCTAATTAAATGGGTACATATGTGGGTACAATAGAGTAACTGTTGCAACTAGTGCTGTCTTGAGATGTCAAGTCATTCATACAGTATTCACAACCCTTTTCCCCAGAAGAAATTATTTTAAAAAAAAGACAACCCCCTCACTTATCTTGTGTATTCTGCTTACTTCACTGTCAATCAAAAAAAATCGAAAATCCTTTTCATACAACATCATGTTACTATTACTTCCAACCTCTCTGAATGCTCAACCTCACCTGTGTGTTAATGAAAATGTTTGTGTATACATGGTCAGACATACCCCTTCAGACTTCTTGTCTGGGTAGATGCAGCTCTCTCCACCTGCTGTGAAGTTGCAGTAAACCTTGAAGGAGTCCCGAGAGCAGCCCTGGTTTGGATCGATCCAGTACTCACCTGAAGACATGAAGAGAGAAAACAGAAAGAGAGAGAGGGAGAAATTATGGTGCATCGATGATTTGACGTCTATAATGTCCTCCTCAAGGTCAAGGTAAGTACTTACAATGTATTGTTGAGCTTAGAGAGCATGTTTCTTGTATCTGTGTTGTATTGATATAAAATTCTGAGATCTTATACAGAGACAATGTTCTTTTTTCGTACTAAAGGCAACCATGACATATCTTGTGTGAAACACTAAAGCATGCTGTTGTTGGTGGCATTTATTTCAATTAATTCAGCATCAAAATCTTTATACCAACTAATTGTTTTCATTCTAGATGAAACTGCAAACTATTTTCTTTTTTCATTGATTAACCATTTAGTCTGAAGACTGTCAAAAGCCTAAAAGTATATCAGATATTTTTTTCTTTCACTGCCAACTTAATAATTTCATGACAAAATCACAGAGGAGGGACACAATGGCATTAAATCTCTCAGAACACTCAAAACACACAACATTTTAACTCAATATGTTTTCACCAAAATGAAATCCCCTTTGGATTTTTTTATTCTGTGTATCCTGGACCTTGTCATACAAAATTTTAGGGTTTATACTATCTGCAGTGAGTGTGTGGTTACATTGGTGTTTCTTAAACGAAGGCAAGTTGCAGCAACATACAACACAGTTCAAATTGGGCAAGAGCCAATTAACAACACGAGTGTATCACCCAGTTAAATTCGCACAACGGCCAAATCAGGGCAGTAACTAATAACTATAAAACATTCACCTAATGCCTGGTTTCATACAAAGTGGAATACAAACCATCAGGGAAATCAGCGTGGCAGAGTTGCAGGTCCTTGCAGGTACGAGCCGGGTTGGCCTGTGTTCCCAGGGGGTGCTTCATCTGCTCGATCTCAAGCTTCAAGGAGTTTAGAGAGCCAAAGATTTCCTCCATGCCGTCGTCATAGTCCTTGTAGTTGGCATCGACGGCTGCTTCGTCCATCATCTGGCTGGCATCGATATTTCTTCGATTTCTGCCCTTCATGGAAGACTGGATGGGGAGCGGGTGGATCACATCTCCGGGAGGGCCCTGTTATGTGGAGATGAGAGATGGAAAGACAAATACAAATCAGGAATTAGGGTGTGAATCATGGAATTGTCTACAGAACTAAGAGGAAAATGTTTCATGCTAAGGATAAGTATATAATTTAAAGTCTGCCTATGTAACTTACTGGAGGTCCTGGAGGTCCAGTTGTACCAGTCTCTCCCTTTGGTCCAGTTTGACCCTGAGCAGGACAAATGAAAAAAAAAAACGTTATTACCTAAAACACAAATTACATTGTAACTGTTGTGATAAGTTCTTGTTTCTGTTTATTTGACCTTCAGTAACATTTGACCTTCTGTTCAGAAGTGTAGCTTTCAGAGAAGCACTTACCGATGATCCTTTAGCTCCTTTGGGACCAGGAGGACCCTAAAAGACACAACAATGACCACGCAATCAAAACTGGCTCAGACATTACACACTAGTCAGTAACAACACATATTGATCAACGTCATCTTACGGGCAATCCAGGAGGACCGAGGGGACCAAGAGGACCTGTAGGACCAGCAATACCCTGAAGCAGGAAAATGAAAGGAGTGTGAATTTATTTCTTGTTCGGTGAAGACAGAAGAAGCATTGTTTGTTTTTCATGCTACAGTATTGACGAAAGCCTCATTTTGGCTGTTCTAAATTTTATAAAAGACAAAGATTATCAATAACTTTCAGTAGGAGGATTATTGGCAGAAATAGCTCTGCTCTCCCACAACGCTCACAGTCTGTCTTTGCTCTACAGAATAAAAAACAAAAACATGAGTGAGCATGTGTAGGCCTTTTCACGATGACTCCAATGGAGTTTGGTGTACTTACATTGTCACCCTTGGAACCATGTGATCCGGGAGGACCAGGAAGACCTCTGTCACCCTTTTCTCCCTGTTCACCTGGGGGTCCGATTAGACCAATAAGACCTGGATGTCCCTGAGAGGAAGAGAGCGAGGCACAAACACATATATTATCAATACAGCACTCAATAATGCACCATTATAAACATTAGCTGTATAATACATCTATCTGGCAGGCCCTCTAATGTTAAGGGTAATGATTTGATGGCTTGGGGCAAACAACTGATCTAATCAATCTGTCAGTAAATAGAGCCATTAGTCTTCTTAGGCCCTGCACAAAAGCATTCATTGTGGTTTGATGCAGAAGTGACTTACCTTTTCTCCTTTGACACCAGAGTCTCCTTTCAAACCAGGTAAACCAGGAGGACCCTGTGAGATGGATTTAAAGAAACCGTTGAATAAGAATTTATACTAGACCCTTACATCATGTGAAAGACCTCAACTTAAAGGCAGATTCCACTTACCATGGGTCCAGGAGGTCCATCAGGGCCTGAAGGACCTGGCAGACCTTGCTCTCCCTGCATGGATAAACAAAAAATAGTGTTTTTAATACCAGGACAGTCTATTAAAAGCCATTTATGTACACTTGCCTTTAAGCTGACTTAACAGACTACAGAACATAACTTGACTGTGATTAATTAGCGTAAATGGGAGAAACACTCTACTCACAACTGGGCCGGGGATACCCCTGAGACCTTCAGAACCGGGCTTGCCAGGTGATCCCTGAGGGCCAACAGGACCGGTCTTTCCTTGGGAACCTTCCAAGCCAGACTCTCCCTTTCAAACAAAACAGAAAAAACACAAACAAATTGGTTCCTTGCTAATTTTTTGCTCGCGACTTGAGACTGTTGGTTTCAAAGTGAGAAGAAAATCTGTATTTGTTGGATATGTTACCTTGGCTCCCTTCTCTCCTTGTCTTCCCTCAGGTCCTGCTACTCCATGGGGGCCCTGTTTAAAAGGAAGTAATGTCAGAGATTAATAGTGTAGATAAAAAGACAGAATGTTTAACATTTTGTAAAACAAGGATAAGACTTACTCTCTTTCCTGGTGGTCCAGAGGGACCAGACTCTCCAGTGGGTCCAGGGGAACCCTAGTTCAAAAATCAAACAGTAGTCATTTTGTCATTTTAAATGGAAATTTATATGAATGAATTCACACTTAGAAATGACACAAAATGGTATGGTGAAGCAATAAGTAGTTTGTGACACTCACAGCTTGACCAGCCTCTCCATCATCTCCCTTATCACCAGCTGGACCGTCTAACCCCTGCATAAGAATTACACAGATTCTCAATTATGCATCAAACAAAAACGCCAAAGAATACAGTATCATAAATAAGCTGTATGAAGCAATACATACAGCTGGACCGGGCTCTCCAGGGGGACCAGGGTCACCTGGGAAACCACTTGGGCCCTGAAAATCAATGAAAGTTGCATTACTTCTTTTTGCGGACTAGATTTAAAGTTCAAGGTCATTGCTTGTAGAGTTCCATTGATTTATAAGACATATATATTTCAGGAAGTCAAAGATGGAACAAAACTAACAGGGCTGCCTTTGGGACCGTCATCTCCAGCGGGACCCTTAGGGCCGGGAGGTCCAGCTGAACCAGCAGGGCCGGCTTCTCCCTTTTCTCCTCGCTCTCCTCTTGACCCCTGGAATCATAACATGTTTGTTTAGAGATGCTTATCAGCAATACTAGAAGATAACATACGGAAAAATGCTAATTTTGAATTGTCATTCTATGTTATCGTCATTGTACATTAACTCATTTGGAGTCCAGCTAATTAAAATGGAGGACAGTGGTTCAGATAACTTACTGGTGGGCCAACTTCTCCCTGAAGACCTGGTTCTCCTGTTTCACCAGCGTCTCCCTGGAAAGAGAGAGGAAAAGGGGTAGGGAAGGTTAGAGAGGCATACATTATCAGAAAGCTGATTTGTTGAGCCAACATGCTTCTAAAAATCCCATCATTTACAGCAGCCCTCACTGTCCCGGTGCCCTTCTCACCACCCAAATTGCGATAGAAAGAGATGACACAAGAGGTTTCAATCCATCAAGTGTGGGCAGATTGGGTGGCTGGAGCACTGGAGGGCGCTGACCTCACTGTTCTTCCTGGACCCTTCACATATATCTTGTCCTCTTCCTCATGCCTTATTGGATAGTTGCCCCTGTCAACTCACCTATACACTGGGCGCTATCGTTATTCACTGTCAAATAAGACAACAGTCCTCCCTGCTGAGGTTTGCAGCTGATGCAGTCTGCCATACTAGTTTCAGGGGAATTGTTTTGCCAGTGCAATGTTTTGAAGACCAGTAGTCAATCAATAGCACCAAATGATGAGCTGCGTGGTGATGTGTTATGATGAGCATATCCAGACTCTCTGTAGCATGAACAAAAAGCTCTGCATTGTAAGCTGCTGCTCCTCTAAATTAGTGACTGGCTGCCTTCCAAACTCTCTCTTGTTGCCGTTGAGAAATCCACTCTAAGCAGTTGGTACGCCTGTTTGAAAGCATGACTGATCCTTCTGTATTAGCAGCGTACTCCTCTGCTCTAAATGCAATGTTGCATCCGAGAAATTATGCACAGGCCCATGACAACCTGCTCATGTTCCCCCACAAGGGTATGCTGGGAAAAATCTGCTGAGACCGGGGAAAGCAAGAGCATGACAGACAGCTGTTCATCACAGAAATAAGACGGGTGTGTTTACAGAAAGAAAAAAAAAAAGCCTAAGCTCAGTTGCTTGTTGGCTCCCTGTGCCGGCTAATAAAGCGCTGGATCAGCTAAAGAGTGATTAGGGCCAAAAAAGCACTGTGTTTGTTTGCACCGTAGAAGGACAAGACATCCTATGGGAGATTATAAGGGAGCAAAAGGTGATTCTATTGACTGAACTAGATAATGCAAATCACACTATCAATACGAGCAGAAAGCAATGAGAAGGTACAGAGCACTGCAGCTTGGTTGCTGCAAAAGCTACACAATGAAACAGCAGCAACAAATAAAAACAGGAGCTGATTTTAATAATACATTTATCATCTTAGGATTGCGAGAAGAGTGCCTTTGAGTATCTATTTACACCCTCTGCACCAAGCCACAGCACTGTCGAGGATGGCAGCCTGTCCATTAGATGTGCTGTGCATCTGTTACTGTGGGACGGGAAAAAAATGATCATGTCACATTTTAAAAGGGTATCATACTGTACAAAGAGGCGCGGGAAATATTAACAGAGGCAAAAGCCTTGTAAAGAGGCATCATTCAGCATCTTTACCGCAGGGCAATCAAACAAACTGCAAGCACGCTGAATTTGCCAACCGGATAAAAAGTGTATCTCAACCTTTCTTACAGAGACATTTCAATGAAAGATATCCACTCAATCAGGTGCAGGAGTAGTCCGAGGTACAAAATATTATGCCCCCTTCGGGACCTTTTTTGGGGTTTTCTGCCTCTATGGAAAAAATTGCAGAATCATAACTTTAAAACTTTACATCTTCAGATGTATTGTGCATCTGGAACAAAAAGCTGAAGCACAATAAATAAACTATAAATTGAAGGAACTCAAGTCAGCATGTGGAGTCGGCTTCCATTATGCCCTGTTCTTTAACAGCAGTTCTTTAACAGCTTTGACATGTTGTAATCATGTTTTAGGGGGACCGTTTCTGTTGTATTAATATGCACAAAATGAATTTGGTGGACAATGATTTTAATGCTGTCACATTGCAAACTTGAACACACACAAAAAAGTGACAGTAGAGTTACTTAGTTTCTTGAAGTATACCTATGGAAATTATCAACAGTAAAGAGGCACAAAAGATTGTAACTGAAAGGAGTTAATTTGACTTTGTAGATTTCATTTATAATGAGGATCGAAATTCAGCATAAAAATTCATCTGATTGGTATTTGGCTGCATGAACTGCCTAAAGACAACCTCACCTACACAACATTTCCCAGCACATTGCTGAAGAGTATTTTACCTTTTCTCCAACAGCACCTGGGTTTCCAATACCACCAGGAGGTCCCTGAGAGCCATCAGCTCCTGGGGGTCCTGAGGGTCCTCTAGGGCCAGGGGGACCAGGTGGACCCTATATAGAAGAGAGAATAGAGTCTCATTAGCCAAGAAATGTCTCCTGCAAACCGCTATTCACATCTTTAAAGCCCTTATTTAAAGTATAAAATAGTATCAAGCTCTTACCATTTGACCGACATCTCCAGTTTCACCTTTCTCACCAGGAGGTCCAGGCAAACCCTAAAGGAGTGTGCAGACGATTAAATCATACTGTCCCCGTGTTTGTCATTAGTAACATTGACTTCATTTTAAATTTGTTTTTGCAGATCGTACCTGCAGCCCAACTGGGCCTGGGGGTCCAGGGAATCCTCTAGATCCTTCATCTCCCTTCTGGCCAAACAGACCCTGCTGCCCTCTGGGACCAGGCTCACCATCTGCACCCTGTATCAGTCACAACCAGGAGAAAAAAATAGTTGATGATTCTTTTGGTTCAATATATACATTAGATAAGGCATGTTATGACGTAATCAACGAATGCAAACTAGAGACGTACAGCAGGACCAGGTGCTCCAACGGGGCCTTGAGGACCAGTGGGACCAGGTGGACCCTATTGAGGAGAAGGAAAAACAAAAAGATGACCAACAAGCTTATCCTTTGCTTAAATTAACTTTAAAGCTCATAAATCCAGAGTAAAATATGACCTGCCATAAGATCTCAGGCATCATAAGAACCCCATTTAGGTGTTAAGTACTTACATGCTCTCCTTTGTCACCCTTGCCTCCTTTCTGTCCTGGCTCTCCAAGCTCTCCCTGGGAAACAAAGACGCACACAATTTAAGACAGGCAGAAAAAAAATATGAAATGAAAAATATTTAAAACACATATATAATACTCCAGAGAAAAGACCCTGACATATTAAAAGTAGATTACATTCTAAACTAAATCATATCACTTCTTTTCAGAAGACACTTTTATAGAGATCTGCCCATTAGTATTTCAATTACATCCCTCCTTTTCTGACAAACGATGTCAAAGATAATTCACTTCTAAAGCAAGTGGGGCTCATGATGAGTCACTGGCGCTACTAGCCGTCCAAACAGAATAGATAATAAGTCCCCATCTCAGCCTGTTTGCACCATCATTCCCACAGTGAGGAACCTTACACCTTTTATTTCAAAGCGTGCACATGCTGTGGGATTTTAGATAAATAATGTTAATAACTGCCAGAGGCAATTACTATTTGGTTTGAGTCAGACAAAGCTCTTTTGTGAGGCAGTATTAGTGTCTTAAATAAAGGCCTGGGGTTGTTCTCTTTTCCGTGGACGAGACTAATAATAAGAAAGAGTCTCAACGTGTGTAAACATTGGCTTTTTATCTACATGGCATATACCCCTCTGTATTCACCAGGTCCGCCTGCATTGCAGGGAACATTGTAAGGCCGGTTAAGAAGTGAGGCATTCTTCAAAGCATGAGGGATCATCCTTTGAGTATATTTGTAGCTGATCTTTCTGCAAATGTTTTCAGATTGGATGAGGAGTTGCACCCGCCTCAGAATACTAAAGGGTCACTTTCACACATTCTCTCACTGTCACAAAGTACCTTCTTCTTCTTCTCCTCCGCCTGTTTGTGCGGAAGAGTACAAAGCTGAAACAAGGTAGGTTCACCTTTTAAAGATCTGTTGATCGATGCAAACTCTGTCAGACAAATTCCCCTCTGAGCGTTTAAGGTCACAGGGAGAGAGAGCAGAGGATATCTGCCTCAGATCTCTTCTGTAAAGTTTAGTGTCTTTGTAAGGTGGTTAAGTGTGCATGTTCTGTATAACGGCATGTGTTTGTGTTATGCAGAGAGCTTAATGATTGAAAATTTCAATGTAGATTTAAGAATTTAATTATATTTCTCTTTGCTTTATCAAGAAAATAGCAAATCACCTTGTCACCGTCCTCTCCAGGTGGTCCAGGAGGTCCTCCAGGTCCTGGCAGACCCACAGGTCCCTGAATACCGTCTCTACCAGCTGGGCCTTGGGGTCCTTTCTCTCCCTATTTTTTTTAACCAAAATACAACACCAAAATGTCAACAATGCTCTATCTATTTACAATTTTCTCAATTTGAACAACTTTCTCTGAAATCTGATGGCCTTACCGGTCCACCTTTCTCTCCAGCAGGACCTGGGGGTCCCTGAGGGCCAGGGCGACCAGGGAGACCTGTGGGCCCGGCTGGGCCAGCAGGACCACGTTCACCAGGAGAACCCTACACGACATTGAAATTAATCAATCTGACAATCAAATCTGACAAGAAAATACTAAAGAGATCAAGTATTAAACACTGAAATAGAATTTGAAAATCAAGCTTATCAAAATAATGTAAAAGCTTTTAACAACTAAGGGTGGGATCTTTACTATAAAAAAACAATTTCCAGAGATGGAGAAAGAAAACAGAATGTAAGAGTGAGAAAATAAAAGTGACAGTCTGATGATACGGATGCAGTAAATTGTACTCACAGCAGGACCAGGTGGGCCGTGAGGACCCTCATTCCCTTTCAGACCGTGAGCCCCCTGCAGTACAGAAAAAAATGAAGGCTTTAGAAAACAAACACATCTGTTGGAGAAGCACACTTCCTGCCTTTCACTGGACTCGCTATCTTCAAACAGCATGAGGTGGAAAACCTCCTATAGTTCCCAAAGTTGAGGCTGGGAGCAGATGAGGATAGTTATTTACTAAAAAAACTGCTTCAAATGTCCTTTACATAACAAATGAACAGGTGTACAGCATAATTCATGCATCCTAGAGTTAAACGAAAAGCCATTTCTACCTTCCTTCAAAGTATGCCGAAGAAAAACAACGTGAATTGCATAAGAACCAGAACACGACTTTGTCAAGTTGGAATAAAACATTAAAAATTTAAAAAATCAACAGCCTGGAGCACACTGTTCCTGTTCTGAAGCCCACTCGGGGATCTGATATCATGTCTGACTCTTGAAGTTCACCACAGCTGATTTAATTGCCCAGAACTATTATGCAATAAGCAAGCTGTGAGAGATATTGAATTTGTGTGATGCTATTGTACTGAGCAGAAGGCAATTCTTACCACAGGGCCAGGCAGTCCTCTCTCACCAGGGAAACCTCTTGGCCCAGGTGGACCATCTTTACCTGCTGGGCCAGCGGGACCGGGGTCACCCTATTGGTCAAAGAAAATTACCATTGATCATATGAACACAGCGTATGACTTTGTGTCAATGTATTTCCCAAATACACGTAAGTGAAATCTTCCTATAAAACACAAATTCTGGATTGGAATGTGAAAAACTAGAGTTATTACAGATTACGCTAATAGGGGGCTAAATGAATGGGGGGCTAAATGAATAGCATTTTAAATTAAGCACCTTAGCTCCTTCTTTCCCTGCAGCTCCAGGTAGACCCTGCTCTCCAGGTGGGCCTGGGGGTCCAGGGTGGCCTCGATCTCCCATTGGTCCAGTCTCACCTGTTGGTCCCTACAATCGAAAAAGAGAGAAAAGGCAACAATAAAATCACAACACCGCATTATTCCAAGTTGCAGAGGAGGTGTGAAGACACAAAACTACATCGGAGGAACACTGTGAGCAGAATCAGCAATTTGATACAAAGAAGACGTTAAAATTTCTCCAGCTTTTGCAAAACATGGCGCAGAGAGGCTGAGCATTTGCTGTGTGGGAGGCTTACTAGTCATTAAGGCCACATACAGCTCTGCTATCATCAGTGCTCTCAGCTGGCATTAGCACAGCGGCTGGGAGGGAAAGTCTGTTAAGCGACTATGCATAATGGATGAAGAGCCCATTGCTAATATGAAAGAGTATAAACAACACTTAAGTCATGGCTCGTGATATAGGTACAAGGATAAATCAATTTTTTCGCTTGGAAACAAAATGATGGGAGTGCTCTTATCCGATATCTTATCTTTGTAAAGGAAACCATAACTAATTATACACACATTATGAGTGAGCAACAGTGCAAGATGGTCCATTACTGTGACTCACCTGAGGTCCAACAACACCAGGAGGGCCAGGTGGTCCAGTCTTTCCTTGGAAACCCTGTGAATAACAGAAGAAAAAAAAAACTTTACTGTCGTACAAATTATTCTGTGGAATACGGTTAAGGAGCTGAGTAATCAGACTCATCTACTCACAGTCTCTCCTCTCTGTCCAGGGTGTCCAGGCAGTCCGTCTTTCCCTGCAGGGCCCTGAGAAATTCATAGAAATTCAAGAATTTAGGTGGACAGAATAATAAAGGACAACCACTGGCTTATATATAGACACCTAGATAAAACTTACAGGAGGGCCTTTTGGTCCTGGGAAACCTGTTGGTCCCTGAGGCCCTGGAAGACCCTGAAACAGACAACAAATGAATCCCGGTCAATTACCTCTGCAAACAAAACATGTGAAGAGAAAATAAAAAAAGACTTCATAACAACGTGATGGCACATACCCTCTCACCAGGAGGTCCAGGTGGGCCGTCATTTCCTGAGTTACCCTGGAGAGACAAAAAAGGGAGTTAATGGTGTCCTTTTAACATGAAATACTCAAGAGAAACTGATGTAGTATAATTTCCATACCTTAGGTCCGGCTTTCCCTGTTGGTCCTCTTGGTCCTCTCTCTCCTCTTGGGCCCTTAAAAAAAAAAGATTACAACGCTAGAAAAGGTCTAAAGAGATATTTGTGACCTAAAATATGTCACAATCCACAGTTAAAAGTGTAGGAGTTTCCCCTAAGCATGCTCGGTGTTGATGCTTCATTTCCACTCAGGTGCCAAGCTGGCCATCTGTACATGAGCACGAGTCTGCTGAGTAAGACTTACAGTTGGTCCTCTCTGTCCGCGTGGGCCAGGCTTTCCCGCTGTTCCCTGTGGACACGAAGGACACACACAATGATCAAAGAGGTGGCATCATTAAGAGGCTGCATCCTCCACAAGAATGAATCTGATGCCAGTAGACAGCAACATTTGCAAACACGTTTCAACAGAGCTGTGGCATTTAGGAGCTAAGGGATCATCTTTCATCATTAATTAGGAATAACCTGTTTTGAGAAACAACAATCAGCATTTAGCAGAACTCTCAAAATGGGATATTTTAATAAATAATAATGCACCATTTCATGTTTTTAAAGCAATATTATGAATTCAGTGGTTACATACAAATTTAATGAAGAAAACAATTATATCCTTTGTTAGGTCATTAAGTTTCAAACAATTGCTTCAAAACTATGTTAATGGCATTTCTTCCCCTGTCCTGCCGGGGAGCTTGGCTCGCATAAACTTCACAAATGTTTTGTGAAGATGAAAAGCTTTATTTGCCCTGCTCCATTCGCGGTGGAAAACCATTACTCTTGCAGGAAACCTAATGGCCCATTCCTTAAACAAAGAAAATGAAACATCGCCCAAGTACCACAAAGTGATAAACAACGCTCCAGGTTTCAAAATGAGTTGTGTTAGTAGTAACAAAGACGAAATGCAATCGTCACTCTGTCCTTGGTGAGAATCTTTTGTTTTCGAGCCATGTGACTTTCTCCAGGTTGATAAATCCGAAGCCCATCTCCCGCTTACTACTATTGATTCAACTCCTGTCAGAACGAGCGGAATAATAAGAAGTCTTTCTGACTTACCCGAGTTCCCTTCTCTCCGTTGGCGCCAGGGAAACCTTGGAAACCCTGAGATCCCTGTGTGTGACAAACAAGGCAATTAATCATTCGAGTGACAAACTTTAAATATGATATCCCTTGTTTATTCCCCGAGATTCCACCTAGCATACTGAATGCAACAGGGGAATTGAGTGCGCCATAAATAAAAGCAGCGTTTTATTGTTGACATATCAGGAGCTGAGGCCTGACACCAAACTGCATATTCAAATCCCCTTCGCTCTTTGATCAGGGAGCTTCAAGCCTGTCCAGTTGTCAGACTGTGGCTTTGTATCAGAGCGGCTAAAGGACGAGGCGTCAATAAAGAGTTCAGAGAATCAGCCTTTACATGCAGATATCTTCATTTTTCATTCTCTTTGAATAACAAGCATATCTGTCGTGAGACTCGTGACATACCCGTATATCTATGAGTGCATGTGTGTGTGGTTGTGTGTGTAATTACCTTTGGTCCTTGTCTTCCTGGGTATCCTGGCAATCCGGGAACACCAAGTTTGCCCTGTGAATGACAGAAGCCACATTTGAAATAGATGCTAAATTGTCGTGGGTGTTGCCACCTTTTTTTTTTCTTCATGTTTTTAAGTTATGTTTCATGGCTGTCGTCCTCGAATAGGCAGCCCAGGTTTGAATGCCTTTGGCTCCTTTTCCGCATGTCATGTCCCACTCTCTCTCTCCCTGATTACTCTATCCACTGTCCTATCTCTCCAACAAAGACATAAAAAATACATCTATAAAAAAAAAAACTATTCTTTCCCATGTATAGAACAAAATCCGCAGAGCGATAAGATGTACTGATTTTCCCACAGGGGCAATCAAAATCCCCCAAAACTAAAAGTTCCTCTCAAGAGCTGTAATGTGAAACAAGCTGGCCTCATTGGGCTCACGTGTTACTCCATTTTTACTGTAGTGACATACAGAAAAATAGAATGATCCTTTCTTCTAGCTGTTGAACTCCATTAAAGTATGGGCATGCAGTAGCTGAACACAGCAGTGATTATAAGAAGCAGCTCAGTGTTTGAATGTTAAAATGTTGGCTGCTTGTGCGGACTCTAATCAAAAATGACGACTCAGCTGTTGCACTACGAACACAGTCCAAATGCACTGCGTTTGCTGTGGAACATGGTCCCAAGCTTTACCTCCAAGTCTTACTAATGACTTGCCATCCCATTGTGCATGTTCTCAGTGTTACTCAACATCTGCTGAATCAATTTTTTTAGGCTTTAATGAAAGCCCATTAAGAGGCTGCATCGACTAGGAAAGGATGTCTTTCTTTCCAACAGAAATTGCTTTTTGCTGTGTTGTTAGCAACAGCCTACCCAGAGCTCAATCTGACAATAGGGAATGTGTAGACCGGAATCCATTCAATGCTTGTAGTAGGTTCAAGGGCAGCAGCTATGAAAAATCAGATGCTGTGCATAAGAGAACCATCAGACAAAACCATTTTCCTTATTACAGTCCTGATGAACCATAATCCTCGATCAATCGTGATCAACAACCTTTTTTTTCTATTAGCCAGTTTAATAATGAGGGCAGAGGATGCAGTATAGTGGGATATCAGTGTTCAGGTTATAGAAGCTAAACTTAAAAAAAAAGACCTTACCTTCTCACCACTTGGCCCAAGAGGACCAGAATCTCCTGGAAGACCTGAGCGACCCTTTGGTCCCTCTGGGCCATCTTCACCTCTGGGTCCAGCTGATCCAAGCTCTCCCTAAAAAGCACATAAAGCATATTTGACATATTATGCTACATTCACTGAGAGCATTAGGAACAAAGACATTCAGAAAACATGGTGCTTGTCTCCTACACGGGCGGGGCATTGGCAAAACCCATGTGACACAGATACAGGAACGGACTCTGCGAGTCTTGTTGTTTTGAACGATCTCTGATAACAGCTTTAATGTTAAGACAGCGTAAATACCAGTAAGAACTCTTCCGCATTGGGCTGGTAAATTTGCTGTATTGTTGTGCACTATACTGCCATGGTGTGTCAATCAGCAAAAAGCAGGAAACATGCAAAAAACTGAAACCACATGACAGAAACATTACTCCATAATATCACCAGCAGTTAAAAACGTTAAACTCAACTCAATTTAAAGGTCTGAAAATCCTCAAAAGGCTTCTGACAAATCAAACAGAGTCAGTCATGATTATATTTTCTGCTAAATCCCATTAAGTTTTTGTCACATGAAACTCTCCACTTTGTTTGTTTTTTTGTGCATGCATCTCTCATTGGTTTGAGTTTGGCGAAACCCTAACACCAAGACAATTTGTGTGCAATCAGAATGAAAGAAATATTGAAATCAGAATCTGGCTACAGCTCTGGGATCAGCTGCTTTGTTCTGAGCAAATATAGCCTTTTATAATTGTTCCTCTGAACCGATAATCCCCAGGGATCTGTTTTGTCTTTTACCTTTACTTGTTTCTTTTTTAATCTATTTTAAATATTAGATTAACATGCTTATGATTGGAGTTTTCATTGAGGGACATTACAAGTTGTCATAAAAAGAGAGGATTTATAAATACTGTATTCCCTGTCAACAACTTCATATCCCACTACTTTCCTTTTGTGTTATGCATCCAAAATATTCTCATGTTCAGGAAATAAGTCGGTCCATTCTGGGTAACCCAGGCTGCCCTTTTAAAACTGTTGTGAGTGGAAAGTTGCTTAAAGAATCAAGGAAGGCTCTTTTCCCTCACTGCCTGCCCCTCAAAGCTGTTAGCAATCCTATTATTGCTTCTCTGTGTTCGTGCGCACGCCTTCTAGCAGGACACACACTAAATGACAGATTACAAACTCGCCCTGACAACCAGTCGCCGCTGCAGGGATCCGATGGTGTGTGAAAGGTATCTACTTAAAGCCTTGTGCGGAGACTTGCACAAGCGCACGCCCACACTCAAGTACACATAAAACGACATCAAGCTAACTGTACTTGTCTCACACACACACTTGCAAGCTCATCAAAGAGAGATCTCTGACTTGAGCGAGCATGCACACGTACTTTTCATAGGGATGCTTGAACAAAAAAAAAATTGAGTCATTTAGATTCTGGTCCATGTGTGTCTCCTCCAGAGCAGAGGGCCTCCTCAAATCCTTGCTTTCATCTGAATCTGCTACATCTCCAGAGAGAAACAGGCTGAAGCCCCATGTCTCTCTCTCGGGTTTGAAGGGGTTTAAAGTGCCATTGATTTCTCCTTCCTTTTCGGTGCCAGGCTCGAGACAACCAGGTCAGGGATTGGGAGGGGGTTTGACGCTTGAAGTATGGGCTACAGAAGAGTTGTGTTTCTCACTGTAGAAGACTTGTTTGACATTGTAAATCCCTAACGCAGGTATTTCGGGTTACACCTGTCAAACTTGAGATTTTCACCTGAAGTTTTTGAGATTAAGGCTGACGGGAAAGTGGAAGATGGGGGGGGGATGCTCGTGTAAACACATACGCACACACAAAAACACACACACACTAACAGCTGGCGAAAGGAGCGACACCTTATGCTTGCTCATTACCCACAATTCCACAGCAGTCACAAGGGCTTAGGCCACCTGAGGTTAACATGTGAAAGAGTTGTTGGTACTTTCACGAAGTTCCCCTAAGGGTCAAACTGAGCCCCAAAAAAAACATTTGTTAGATTTTGAATGCAGAATTTCTACCCCTGTGATTTATATCAAGAGATGTTTTACTGGCACACGCATCTCGATTTCATGTGGGACTCATCCCCTTATCATCAAGTTATCGAGGCTGTTCATTTTTTATTTGCTTCTTGGACTGTTCTTTATATGATTGTGTTTACACAGCCGTGTTAAATACTCAATTCTGATTGGCTAATTGACCCCCTTCATTGCCATTTCTCTTCGCTTATTCATGTTTATTTGCTGTGCTATGGTAATCCAGGGGGGGCGATACAAGTTCATCTTTTTCTCTTCCTTTGTTTGTCTGTTGTCTTTTTCTCTTCTTTGATATTTACAACAGCTGTTAAGTACAGTTTTTTGTTTTCTGTATGATGCTGGGTTTTTTTTTTAAATTGTTTATATGTACTGTTTTTATGTGCAAGCTGTTTCAAACCTGTTACCACTTGTTGGATTATTTAAGCAGTTTAGTAGTTTCTTGTTGTTGCGAACAGTTTAAAAAAAATATGGCTTACCCTGTCGCCCTTGATGCCCATATCTCCCTTGAAGCCTGGGAAGCCATCTTCTCCCTTGAAAGAGGATAACGGAGACGAACAGATGAGGATGTAAAATAAAGGAATATGAATAAGATAATAAGGGTGATAAAAATCATTTGTGTGGGTATTCACACACTCAAAGACAAGCATACATACACAAAAACACACACACAATATTGTACGGTCTTGGCAAGACCTGCTGTTGCCATAGAAACTCTTAATCGCCTTTTCTTTCCCGCTCCAGTACCAACAACATTCATATCAGGTTTTACAGGATTTCATTGAGAATATCATTAGCGTGAATTAAAGCATGCAAGGCCAGGAGTAATGTTAGGTATAATTCACTCCCTTTCACACTTTCTATTCCCTTCCATACCAACAGTCTGAGCTCTCCTACCTTTTCACCCTTGTGTCCTTGGAGACCACGTACACCGTCGGCTCCCTGTGATGCAAGAACAGACAGGCGTTACAGGCTGGCAGGGGTGCATAGTGGACAAACAGAAGGGGCTGAGTGTAGAACATAAATTACAACATGAGCCGGGAGGATATTTACAACCAATCTGGGCATTTACGTTATTTTAAAAGGACGCTTCAAAGTCAGAAAGTAGCCAATTATCACTGTTTGTCTCCACAAATGTGTCAACAACGAGTGCATGGAGGGTGCACTAATGGATGCACTTAGATGTGTTTTGGTTGTAATTTTAAATGTGATTAATTCTCAAGGTATTTCAAATCCTCTCAACTAATTCGGTGGCCACGAACACACTTGAGACTCGAAGTCAAGCCACTTGTTTGATCCCCTCTATCAGGGGACGCTTTAATGAGTGGATCAATCACATCCCTCTTTGACAAGATTTCTTTAATCTTGGTTTTAAAACATGTGAAGGACCATGGATCTTGAGCTGTTATCAGCCCCTGTGGCTAACCTTAGTGCCACCTTCGAGTAATGAAAGTAGTAGTAGAAAGTAGTAGAAGATCTGTACGGCTGATTTTCCTATTTAGTTATTTTGCACCATTAAGGTTGTTTTTATGTCTCTGTTTTGATCAGAGGACATGGAACCATTACAGACAATTCCTCTTTTCAGAAAGGTTAGTAGAGCAGGAAATTAGGGCTTTGAATTAGTTAGAAAAAATAAATAAAATTCAAAAACGCCCTTGGTTGTCGCACAAACCTTGGAAACAACAACTAAATGTTTTCCCTGAGGCATTTTAATACGTTTGTATGCAACATTTAGCCCATTGCATGTGCGATTTGCAGTCTACCACCACTAGATTGTGTTATCAAAAATGTATTTCTTTGGGGTTTGTAATCATCTTACCTTCACGCCCCGGGGTCCAGGATAACCAATGGGTCCTTGAGGGCCGGCAGGTCCCTGTGGAGATAGATGCTTGGTGAGAGCTTGTTGCAAAAACACAATTAGAGTAACCTTGGTGCTAACATTATCTACAAAAGTGCTATTTTTTTTATGCTAATGTATCTCAACTAAGAAAAATGGAGGGGAGAAACTTCGAAAAGCATACATAAATTAAGAAGAACAAAGTGAGCTCCAAAAGCAGAGAAAGAAATCAAACTCACCAAGTGTCCTTTCTCTCCAGGAGGTCCCTCCTTTCCAGGGTGACCCTGTAAATTATTAAGAGAAATATTATTGCATCTCATTTCAGTGTAATTACCACCATAAATACAATAAAAGCCTCTTTAACTAAGAGATTAAGTTTTAATGCCATTGGAGTATGTATCAAAATGGAAAATTGGAATGAGAATTCAATCTCATTTGGGATTTTTATCCTTAATGTAAAGTATAAATGAGGCACTCCCGGCTATTACTAGGATCTGAAAGCTAAGACTGCCCTTTTGGGACCTCACAATACATTGCACACATTCTGAACATGCAAGTGGTCTGACATACTATGCAGAAGACACAAAAAAAACATACATCTAATAGAGACTTCTGGTAAAAGGGAGAGGGAAAAAAAGACTGGAAGGAAATTGATTGCATTCTCAGGAGACAAAGTAGCTTCACAAAAGCCTCTGATGGGTTTTTTTTTTTTCATGACGTGAGAGAGGATGGAGAGGGAAATAGATACTAAAGAGGACAAAAATCCTGGGCAGGGTAGGAGCATTAAGACTGAGGGAAAGAATATCACGGTTGATGGAAGCTGCAACAAATGGATGAATAAAAAAAGCTGAAAAGGGCATAGAGCTATTTCTATTCCTTAAAGACTCTGGGGGCCATTAAAGGACCAGGGGACATCTTGTACAGTGTTTGCTCTGCTCTTCCTCTCTTTTTCTCTTTCATTCCAGTTATTCATATTTCACAGCCTCTCTTGTCTCTGGCTCTCTGAGGTGCCACCTGGTTCCTTCTGAGGCACATCTGCCATTAGCGCAGGTGTCTTCTGTGCTGTCTGTGCAGAGGTGGGTTGCACAGCTGTGTGATGTGTTCATAGTAAGTGTCATACACATGTCTCTGTCAAATAATTATACGAGTGTTTTTTGAAAGCGCTAAGGGTTGTTTCTCATCGGCAAAAAAAGAAACGGAAAATGTGAGAAAGAGACATCTGATAGCACGCTAAAGGTGCTAGCTTGATTTTTCAAAAACTCACCGGTGGTCCATCGGCTCCTGGCATTCCTGGCAAGCCTGGTTTTCCAGTGGGACCCTTAATTAAAGAGAAGACAAGATGTTGAAGCAAAATAGACAATATAGAATAAAAGCTAAAGGTTATAGGATTCATAAAAGTCCATAAAGAAAGTTTACAGTCATGCTAGCTATAGGCACAGTAGTGTATTAAGCGACTGAAAGTGCTAACGTCAGCATGCTAAAAAAACAATAAAGACTACACTAATTTTTTGTAGGTATAGTTCAAAATGTTACTTTATGGTGCTACAATGTGCTAAAATAAGCAAATGCTAATATGCCAAACATTTTAGTTCAGCACCTTAGCGTGCTAACGTTGGCAAATTAGCAGTGATAGAATCTAAAAAAAAAAAAAAGCTGATAGGAAAACCATCCTGTTAGTGAGTTTTAAAATCCATGATTAACTTGTGCTGCTTAATACTTCTTTGAACATGTTCAAATATCCATTTTCTACTCAAATCTTTTGTGATGCATCCAACATCACAGCTTTCAAGATTTGTATTTTCAATCACAAGGAACACCTACATTGTTCTTTCATTCCAACTGTTCAACAACTAACTGAACCCCCTCCATAACGTCTGGCAAATGTGATTAAGCTAGAATTGGATTAAAATGTATCAGGTTTTAAATCTATCTGTACTGTCTACTATGCAGTATTTAGGCCGTGTGTTGTGGACCAGGACGTGTTTGCATAATGGTGTGATAAGCACTTGGAATTGAAAAAAAAGATAGCAACCCAGCTTCAGCTCATGCAAATGAATGAGACAATTTCCTGCAATTGTATAGATTTGAGGCCTGTGTGTTTATTAACATTTTATCAAGCTGGCAGATTTTTGTTTTTCTGTGGGGTTGCAGAAACAGCATTTTTCAGAATATATCATAGTTAATCAGTGATCATGTAATATCTCACCTTCTCTCCTGGAGGTCCGATGGCTCCTTGGGGCCCTGCAAGTCCCTGTGGAGAGAATAGGAGAGTCTCAGAACATTTTGTTTGATGGATGGAGGACACGTTTAATGTTGGACAACCTGTTCTTCACCCACCTGAGCACCTGGGTTGCCTTGCTGTCCTGGAGGTCCTGGCTCACCTTGAGGTCCCTAAAAACGAAATTGGATTATTTAGATAATCTCATTATAAAACACAGAGATTGATGACTTTATTTACTAAGGAAAGAGTGATTTGTTCCTCCATATGGCCCATTAAGAGTGAAATGTCGCTCCTAACAGGTATAAATTAGAAGCCGTCTAGTCGCGCGTCACTGCATTATTACCTTTTACACCTAAACAAGCCATAATTTTTACACAAACAGAACAATAAGTAGATACAGGACAAACACATTTTTCTCACACCTTTTCTAATGAAAGAAACTGCTGAAGCACAAACCCAAAACACCTTCCCTCTCAGATAACAGGCAATCAATTATGTTGCCCCGGTGCCGGAGTGTGGGAAAGCGGTTCATCTTCAATCTCTACCTAGTTGGAACGATCCCAACAGATCAGACAAGCTGCTGCAGATGGGTATTCTCTCATGAACAGGCGCAGCGAGAAACAACAGGCAATAGTACGGCTGCTGGAATGGATCTAATCAGTGTATTCCTGTTTTTACCTCCTAAGTATCTTGTGCGTGTTACTGAGAGGGCTCATGAGGCCATGTCCTGGATTTCCGGATACAACAAGATAAAGAGATTACTTTTTTTTATTGCCTTTTGGGGCTCTGAGGCAGCAGTTTATGTTTAATTTGATCAGAACAAATATTTCCAAAAACGCATTTCAGTCATTTGCAAGCAGAGTTATCAAACATTAGCTGGTTTCAGCTTCTCAAAGGTCACATATTCTCATTTTCAACTAACTATATATACAACTATACAACTATATAATAATGTTCAGAACCCCCCAAACCATGTCTGTAAAGTTTCTTGTTAAAAATCCACTCTGATCCTGTATTTGGTCATGCCTTTAAACCCCTCTATTTCAGCCCTGCTAAGAACAGGCTGTTTCTGTGCCTGTAACTTTAAATGCACGTGAGCTGTGTCCAACCACGCCCCTCTATGGAAGTGGATTTAGTTTGGGCTTTTTCACTCCATGCCCGATTGTTTACGATGAGAACGCAGACTTAGAGGACAGAACAAACACCTAGCTGTGGAAGTGTCACCCACCTGGGGGAGGACTTACTGCCATTTGTGATGTCATGAAGGGAAAATCTCCAAACAGCCTGTTGAGCACATATTTTTTAAGAGTGGAGCAGGCAAAATTTGGAGAGGGAGGACTTCTCTTATAATTGGGGTGGTTTACAGACAGGCTAGGGACACATAATAGTGTTCAATAAACACTTAAAAAAAAAGATTTGTTGCATAATATGTGACCTTAAAATGTGAGGATTAGCTGTTTTTCTCTGTCATACATTATAAAAACAAAATGAGGAGTACTTCAGTACTGTCGGTTGGACCAACGAAGAATTTTGAAGACATCACTTAAGATTTTTCATTTTTTTCAACATTTTATAGACAAAAATATTCACTATTACTCCTGGAAAGACAATTGTTGACAAACCATTTGTCATTTGATTCAGATTAACTCACTATGTTTCCTTTGGGTCCAGGGTGGCCGTCCATTCCTGTGACGCCCTACAACAGATCAGACGAAAAAAAGGACATAAGGAGCATATAAGGGCAAGTCAGAAAACACAGTTACACACTGAAAAAGTGTGTTTTGTTCTGTGAGCATTTTCCTTTTAAATCTCATTCTTAGCTCCGAACACATTTATTTTAATGTTGTTTTTGGAGCTTTTGCTCTGCACTGTATGGATTTAAGAGTTTGATTTATTGGATTGGGGATCTCTACATCTTGCACAGGGATATCAGCACATGATTGATGCGCTCTGCCCGTGTTAAATTAAATCAGATGAAACAATATAAACATTAGGTTTAAGCTTTGCTCTGCTGCAGACATTAGTCTGAGACACTGGGTTTAAACTCAATAACATATTCTGCTTTTTGTGCATGCTGTCTGAAATATATTGAGTTTTGTGTTTCCCTGTGGGTGCTGTGTGCTCAGGCTTTTGTTCTTGTTGTTTGTGAGATGGTAGCAAAAAAAATTATTCTGCTATGTAAACAGTAAATCTGATGAAAAAGTGTGTGTATGAAAAGTTGTGTGGAGGGTGTGTGAGGCAGGGGGGCTCACAGGGGGTCCGGGAGGTCCCTGAGGTCCTTTTGGTCCCAGCAAACCGCGGGGCCCCTGAGGGGAGAAAAAAAAGAGAAAGGAAATGAGATTGAGAAAGATATCACACCTGTGAAAAGACTGATGAATTATTAAACATGTTCAGTTAAGTCGAGCTTCAGAATGATTCTGCTGGAGAAAATCTGACTTCCCAAATGTCCTTGAGGATATTCTGCAGAGTCAGATTGTGAAGAAAAAAAAGCTAAAATACCTTTCTTTTCTTTCTTTTTTTTTTTAAATTTACTACACGTTAATTCCCCACAGCTATGCCTACCAAACACTGCTTTGAATTTCTGTGCTTTGCCTTGCAGCTACAGTTACCCTGAAAAGACGTATTGTCCTGGCAGGGAGAATTCAAACCAATTTAGCACACCCTGGTGGACAAAAATAGTCCTAACAGCCAATATTGAGGGCGCCTTGCTTGCTCTGTGGGGAATATCCTCCATGGGAGAGTGGGAGGCTATTCTAACAAGCTTGATGTGAGCTGCCTGCAATCCCCACCTCCAAAGACTCTCTTGTACTGGTGTAGCACTAGCAAAGCATAACAATCATGCACCTCTCTGCAGGGAAAAGCCCAAAAAAAAATCTCCATATATATGAATATGAACACATGATGTATGATCTCATCGGACGGTATGATAATTCGCTATCACGATGACACGCTCTGTCATACAATTTCTCAGTGCAAGGCCGAACAGTAGCAAATGTGATCACTCACTGGTTCACCAGGAAGTCCCCTGGGTCCGATCTCTCCATCATCTCCCTGGGAAAGAGAGAGAAACGGGTCAGAACGTGGAACAGGCCGTGAATGATAATGGAGGAGAACAAAAGTGAGGATGTGTGTGTGTGTGTGTGTGTGTGTGTGTGTGTGTGTGGATTGAGAGATAATGGGAAGGAGCAAAGGAGACGGAGAAAAGGCAGAGAGTGGATTCAGGTTGCGTCAGCTGTGGGTAATGAGGGCGAGGAGGGAGATTAGAAGAAGATAAAGGTGCCAGAGATCAGAAATATTAGGGAGAAGATTGAGTCAGAAGGGGAGACTGGGTGAGAAAGTGGATGTGGAAATGTGGGTGCAAACAAAAGACGGTTTAGAAGGAGGAAGAAGTGGAATTCAGGGGACTCTTTTGCAGCATGCTTACAACTTAGTTTGTTATATGGATAAGAGACATCACCCACAAGGCAAAAACTCTTTTTTGATTTAATCAGTTTTTTAAAGCTGGAAATCCAAAAGTAAAAAAAAAAAATGGAGTGGGAGAGGTGTGAAAGTGTAATTTTTCTCTTATACCCTCTCTCCATCCTCTCCAGGAGCACCAGGAGGTCCAGTTGGTCCAGATTCACCCTGTAAGAGCACACATGTAGATTAAACATTCACACACACAAGAACACAAATACACACTCTTTAATGGCACTGCAAAAAAAAAACATACTCTGTGTCCTTTTTCACCAGGAAGTCCAGCCAGACCATCAAACCCTCGGTCTCCCTGAGGAGTAGAGAAAAAAAAAAGTTCCTTGTTCAGGCTTCAAATACACTTTTTGAAACAGGGGATGATGATGAAATATGGTGCATTGAAGTGCATCATGAAATATGGTAGAAAAGGAACCTTAGGGCCAGACTGTCCTGGCATGCCCCTGGCACCATCAGATCCAGAACGACCCTATAAAAAAACAGTTATATAACATGCCTGCACACACACAACAGTATTAGTGCGAATAGAACAGTGTAGACAAGTACAGACCTGTTTCTATGCAGAATTTATAAACGTATTAAATCTTTTCTGTGCGACTATCAAAAGACAAAATACAGCTCTTCTTTGCTGTTCCCAGCTTGTGTCTCTGTTGCGCTTACCCTTCTGCCAGGCTTTCCAGAGGGTCCTGTGGGTCCCAAAGGTCCACGTGGTCCCTGAACAAAAGAAAATAACTTTAACTTTACATTTGAACTTTATTCAAATTCCTTTCTATTTCCATTTTGATAGTGAAGTAAAATACAACCAGCAAAATTTACTTCCTTTAACAAATACAAAACTTTATCCAAGCAAACACAATCTGACAACTGAAATACTGCACTTGTTCCAGTGATAAAATAAAAGCAAAATTTGCATTTTTTTTTTTTTTTAATATTCCGTACCTGAGGACCGGACTCTCCAGACTCTCCCTTCAGCCCTGCCACACCAGGAGGACCCTGCGAAGAAAACAAGTAGAAGATTATATTTGCCACTTAAAACAAAATCAAGTTCTCCACTCACTTACGAACTGTTTGAATAAATTCATATTTTGAACTGCAGACTACAACAACAGCAGATCAGATTTGTGAATTTAAATTTCGATTTGATTTTCAGTCCGTGTTTGCCGTGAGGTGTATTTGCAAAACATACCAGAGGGCCGGATCTGCCTGTCAGTCCCATCGGACCTGTGGGGCCACGCATAGCCAGCTGAAAAGAAGACATGAGCAAAAATCAGGAAGACTGAAAGGAGATTGAATGTTGTAGATTTCACTCATATAAGATCAAATATGACGGGGTGGAATCCATTGACATGTGAGTGTTGTGAGTGTATGTGTGTGCTCACGTGTTCAATGAAAATACAAATATCATACATTTATATTCATGCAATATTTTAGCATAAATAAAATGGAATAAATAAAAACAATAGTGTTCATAAGAAGATTGCTACAAAGACAAAAACAATCACAAAATGTTCAAATTTGCAGACACAAAAGGTAGAAAATGACCAAAGCGACAAATATAAAGACACAAAAGGAAGAAAAGGAAAAGTAAAACAATTAAAAAAAGCTTCAGACATAAAGACGGATTACAAAAAGAAAAGAAAAACTACTGATGTAAGGACAAAAAAGGAAATAAAAAGCAAAAACAAATAAACTACAACTTCAAAGAAAAACAATGGCGAAAAAACTAGAAAATAAAGGCAACAAAATAAGATATGAGAAAATAAAACAAGATATGAGAGAAAGTACAGATAAAAAGAAATGCTCCATAGGTAGACTTAAAGACATTCTCGAGATGTGTTTCTGTGAGAACTGTTACCCTGGCCTGCTGCATGATGGCTTGCATCTGAGACTCCTGTGCTGATACTTGAGGTCCCTTTTGTCCTGAGTCGCCTCCAGAGCTGAACCTGAACTGTGGACAGAATCACATATTGATGAGACTTTTTACTCCTGTTAAGATAAAACCACACAGCACAATGTTAGAAAAACCAGAAAAAGCTAGAAGAAATGTGGAATGACTTAAGTTCTTGCAACCAATTTTTTGTAAATTGTATGTTTTCGTCCTTTGTGTATCTGTCTGTAACTTTGTGCTTTTTTTGCAGTTGACTAACTTTGCCAGGTCTCCCTTGGAAAAGAGGTTCTTAATCTCAATGGGACACACCTGGTTAAATAAAGGTTGAATAAAAATATCAAGTGATATTCCCTACAGTATCTTAAATATTATTTTGATACAGTATCCTTGTCTTGAAACTATGCAACAGATGTTAAACTAAGCACCATCTCCTAACAGCCAAACCTGGCCCATCTGAGGGAGCCTTTCAAATTCTACTGCCATCTGGTGGTCAAACACTGGTATTGCATCTTATTTGAATTTCAAAGCTTGTGTTCTGGCCAGGCATTTTGGGTTGGGTTACACAGCACACACACAGCCCTCAGGAGACTGACTGTCGGTGGGTTTACAGATGCACAGCAACACCGCAGTGAAATACAGCGCCGGATTTCATCACAGAAACGTTGTTACCAAGAAGCACAAATACAAACATTTGATTCAGAACATCAGGGCTGAGTCAGATCAACTGCAGCACAAAACTTTTCTGCAAATCCCTCCATTTCTTCCCTCTGTCTAGGTTTGATTAAATATTGGCCCTTCCCTTCGCTATCTTACCCCAAATCAAATATATGCAGCTATTTCTTTTTTTCCCCCTGCCAATCTGTGAGCCATCGGGTCTGTCTTCGATTCTTTTCCTTCTTCTTTGCTGCACTTTTTGTCATTTCTGCTTTACTCACGTTCCTATGCATCATCAAACCTGAACACAATGTTCTGCAGCATTCAATTGTTGACTGGCAAAGCCGGGAAAAAAAACAATCAAACACTCTGATTGGAACTGCACTGTCAATCAAAAATTGTGGAGCGTTTAAAAAGTGGAGCGTTTAAGAAGCCACAGAAACACAAAGATTTGTCATTTTAACTCTTGTGTTGTTTCCATGATTTCAATACTGAGCCAAAGAGTCCGCTGGTGAAAGAAGGGGTGAAACAACAATGCATGTTTCTCATTAGCCTCGGCGCTCAAGGATCAAGTTTCAAGCGGTGCTTTCTGCCAGTGGATAAAGCAGAAAGACTTTGAGTTCCTGTCCAGACGGAGCCTGACACATGGCTCACCCAGACAGCTCCGTGGACCCCCGAAACCACAGCCTCACATCTGTTCAACCAATCAGCTCCAATAGCAGCGGCAATTTGTTACAAGAAAAATAAAGTATAAAAAAAGTAGACAGTGGAGGAAGTTGTTAGGCTGGCTATGGAAGTGTCGAAGGCAAATCATTAGATGCAGCTGAAGCTACAGAGAGAAGCTACAGTGTTGCTTTGCTTCCTGTCTGAAGCGAGATCACTTCCTGGATGGTTGGGCGATAGCATAGCTTACATTTTTAAACTTAAGAATGTGGAAGATGTCAAAATGATGTAGAAGGAAACTCCCTTTAAATAGTAAGTCTAGAAATCAAAACAGCTGAGAGTGAGCACTTAACATAACAAATAAGGTGACGAGTTCAATTATTCAACACACCACAAGGGGATGCTAAAGCTCAGATATACAGGATACAATTTTAATAAGGGACATGTCTATTTAAAAAAAAATGAACTTCCTTCAAGCCACAATGCTGTGGTACACTTATGTCAGATCAATAAAACAAGGAGGGATACTTGGTTTTAAACAAGGACAAAAATCCCCCATGGAAAAAATGTTGGCTTAGAATGTCAAATAAAAACATCCTGTGTTCCTATTTAGCTATTTTCAGCTTTTGTTTTTATTCATGTTTTCGTCATTTAAAATTTTCGAATTATTTTTTTAGGTTTTTCTGCATTTATTTTTAGAGAAGGACAGTGGATAGTGAGGGAACAGGGACGAGAGAGTGGGGAATGACATGAGGTCGGGTGGGGAGGGGCGGAGTCAAACCCTGAGGACCACACCCCCTGCTCATCGGGCATTCAAAATAACCGCCAGGCCATAACCGGCGCCCATCATTTCATGTTTTTTATTATACTTACAGGCAGCATCAGGACAGTTCCAGGGGGTCCTGGAAGACCATCAGCACCAGGAAGACCAGAACGACCCGGTGGACCCTGACACAGAAAATAACACACACACACACGTGAGTACTCGCACACTGACAGAAATGTGTTTATTTTTACTTTTCCGGCTTTGAAGATTATTTATGGAATACACAATTTACACTCACCCTCTCTCCTGTATCTCCAGAACTGCCTGGTGGGCCAGAAGAACCCGGGGGTCCTGGGAGACCCTATTTAAATCCAAAAGCATCTCATTTTACACATATCATACATACATAATACAGCGCAAAGGAGCAGTCATGTTCGCTCTGCTAAAGTTCTCCCCTTTATCTGGCAAAGTGGTCACACATGGGAGAAAGGAATGCATGAGGCAATATGGGACAGCTTGTTGAGTTGTAAATCCTTTGTGTGAGGCGCTCTTTATTTGTCTATAGCTCAATGCTTGAATGGCGCGCCTCTGCAGGACTCCATCTGCAGGGTGTCAAGAGCAACTGTGTCTGAAAAATTGTCCTAGATAAATAATTAAGTTCCCCAACATCTGGGTGAGTCCATATCTCTTCAGGGGGGCGGCTTTTGGACACTCCCTTTGCACGAGGAATCAGGCAGGGAGGGATTTTGATTTCCTTTTTTTCTATCCAGAGGAAAAAGAAGAAAAAAGACTACAAATACAGATGGTACTGACTGTTTGCAGCTCTCTCTTTTTTCTTTTTTCTTTTTTTTACAAATAATTATGCAACTAATCAGGAGGCTCATAGAATCAAGGAAAACAACCAAATGTGAACAAAAAAAGGAAAGAAGGGGGAGTGATATTGAGACAGATTGACTTACTGTTGGCCCCTCAGACCCAGGCGGACCCTCCACCAGCATTCCCTGAAACACACAACCACAGACATTGTTAAGTGCCACTAGAGAAATTCCCATGGCTTCCTTCATAAATATACATCAATCCCAAGTGTTTGCTGTGCTCATCAATACAGCACTTTAGCTACGGGAGGTAAATGTGCATGTCCCAACAGTCTCCCAACTCAAAGTTAGCTCACTTAATATGCATTCCTGCCCGTCACTTCACTTACAATGAATTCACAGAAAAAGCTCAAGGTGTGAATGGCTGCAGAGGCGCCCTGAGGTGCTCTCTTACCTGAACAAGCGAAGAGCGCGAAGCACTAATCAAACTGAATTATTAATTTGTTCACACAAGCAGAGCAGCTTTCTTGTTATATGCAGTGTAAAACCAGTCAGTGCATGTTAGAAAGCTTTTGTAAGAACCCCAAATTACAGAGACATATGTTGAAGAGCCGTCTGCTGAAGGTGTGTTGGGACATTTGATTTGACTGTGCGCCCTAACAGCAAACGTATTAAGGATTCAGAAAAAGAGTTAAACAACTGAGTACCGCAAACCTTTCTCTGAGGCTTGAAGGTGGCAGATTTCAAAACACTCAGGTGGACAACAATTTGGAATTAAGAATGAATAACATTTATTTTTACCCTTAAATGATGGGTTAAAAACACAAAAGATGAATGAAATGTGTGTCCAAAATCCTGTTTTTTTTGTGTTTTTAACTTGGTCGGCAAACTGACTATGGATTGGTTGATGATTTTAGTATTTGAACGCTGTCTGTCTTTATTTCCAGATCAAGAAAAAATGTTGAGATGGTCAAATTTGTTTCAAACTTGCAGCTTTACTTAAGTTTCTCATTATGTATTATGTACGCCTGTTTTAGGATCAATATGTAACATTAACTGCACTGACAAAAAAAAAAGCAAGCTCTCTCAGTTCCGTCTCTCAGATGCATCGTTGCAGCTCTGCGGCTGCAGAGGTGTTTGCTTTGTTAGTTTGTTTTTGTGGTGACATGTTGGTTTCCTGCTTTGTTAGGAGGACAGAAACCAACACTTTATATACACTTATTATGTGTTATCGCAGCTCTTTTTTCTTTTTTACTACCAAGCTGTTTCCATTGATCATTTTCATATTAAACAAACTGTTACTGATCTTTGACACTCAGGTTGTGCCTGCAGCCTGCATTGGGAAAAGGACGAGACCTTGGGAGTGGGGAAAGTGTTCATGTTTGTGTAACTGTCTCAGCTTTTGTCAAGTTTTTTTTACGAGAGGCAGGACACACTGGGTGGTAATGGGTATCCAAACTGCTTCTCAAAACATGCCTACACACACACACATAAAGAGTCATCTAGGAGGTAGACACACATATAAACATGAAGACACTCCGTCACTGAGCCTTGTACACTGAGTGGAGCTGGGTGACATCTTGTTTGAAGTGAAGCAGCTGTAGCTGTATTACACATATTAAGTTATTCAGTGTCTGGTTTACCTTTGCAGTCAAGGAATAAGAGTTGTTCTGATTTTCACAATGTTACCTATGTTTATACAGAAGTGTCTGAATTAGGTTTGGATGTTTTCCACTTGTTTGTGTTTATAAAAAGCTTAGCGTTTTTTGGCAGAGAGGGTAGGAATACGCTTCCTAATTCCCTTTTGTTCTTCTCCCTTCTCTCAAGTCACCCCCCCCCCCTCTGTTTACACACTACCCTCGCTGTGTTTAGAGATTACAGACCATCCCTGCATGGCTGTTCTCCAAATGTTTATTCTGTAGTCCTGATGACCAGCCAGGAGCGTGGCCTATGAGAAAAGTCGTGAGGGCCCTGAGGAGTGTGTTTGGATCTGGGATTTTCATTCAGAAGCGAGGGCTGGGTTGTATTTAGATGTGGATCATTCATATGTACTCACAAGTATAAACATCCACGCATGCGGTGAGGCCATGTGCAGACACGCAGCCTACATCTGTTACCCAAGTATGTTGTTTAAATAGGGATACTCACAGGCTCAATAACAGCAGGCTCTCCCTTCTGTCCCTTCTCGCCGCGAGCGCCGTCGACCTAAACACCAAACACACTATCAGACCCTCCTCATCATCAAACTAACAACCTCATCCTCAAGTGTGTCCTTCCATTGTCTGTCACCTGTCCATAATACTCATCAGTCGCAGCAGGCAGCACTTTGTCCTCTTTGCCGTTGTAGTCCAGATCCCCGTAGTTGTAATCGATGTCTAAGTCGGTATAGTCGTCGATGCTATCCTCCTTGAACCCATCCAGATCGGTGTATTCGCCCTCGCCTTCAACACCCAGGTTGGTTCCAGTGGCAATAGAGCCTCCTGCTCCGGTACCGGCGCTGGCAGATCCACCTCCAGCAGAAGAAGATCCTCCCCTAGAAACTGAACCAGCGCTTACAGAACCGCCTCCGCCGCCAGTGGTGATGGTAGAACTGCTGCTGCTGCTGCCTCCTCCACCCCCAATGTGGACGGAACTGCTGCTGCTGCTGCCTCCTCCACCCCCAATGTGGACGGAACTGCTGCCGCCACCTCCACCAAGGTGGACTGTGTTGCTGCTGCTGCTACCATCACCTCCATCAACGCTTACAGTTTCCACGCCATAATCGTATCCATCATTGTAGTCATCGTAGGCTCCCTCGACCTATACAAAGACAGATATAGTTATTTATGTAAATTGTTGTCTATTATTATATTGTCTAAAAACAAAGGAAAAATTGACATTGTTTTGGGATCGACAAGTGCTGCCAATGCAGTAGAGCCTTAACCCGATTTCTTGCTCATGGCCAGCAGAGGCGGTATCTATTGGCTACAAATCTTTTGGCCTCCAATTTGACATTTTTTTAAACTCAGCCTTAATGTCTGCTGCTCACATGTGGATTGTTGTTTTAACAAGGGAAAGGGTCGTAAAAGTCAGACACAGAGTTGAAGGTGGGCCTTTTATAAAGTATAAAACATGGTAATTAATGGAGATTTAAATTGTTTTAGTAGTTAAACAATGCACCTATTAGACCTTCAGGTCATTCTACCAATAATCGAGTGACGATGTCAGTGTAATAAATGTCAACCTACTGATGTCTTATTGCTGGTCATGGTAATTGAAGTTCCTCCTCCGCTGGAAAGGACCCTGTTGATACCTGCCCCTGCTTCCAACTCGATCTTCCCGCCTGCTCCCAGATCCAGCTCACCCCCGGTGCCGACACTGGTGCTGGTGATGGTGACACGTCTGGAGGTGTCCCCATCTGGCGAGGCCGTGGACTGGTCATAGTAGTTCTCGTAGTAGCCATCGTAGCTGTCATAACGGCCGGCCTCCTCTCCGTAGGCATCTTCTGCACCCGTTGCCGCACCTGCAGAGCTTGACGACGAGCTGCTGGAAGAGCCGGGGGATGAGCTGGAGGAGATGGAAGTCAACACTTTGCCGCCAGTGCCACCAGTACCCCTCAGGATCTCCTCGACTGCGGTCGCCACACTGTCTCCATCTGTCTCCTGTAATGCATGGAGGATATTTTTTATTTATTTATGTTTTTGCACATGAAACTACACTATTGAGAATAGTCCATTTGTGTTCCATTACCTTGACTTCTTTTGTGGTTGTCTCTGTATCAGTTGTCGAATCATAAGCCTTGCCATCTGCATCATCATAGTAGGGATATTCATAATAGTAGTTGTCCTCCCTGTTGTTCTAAAGGACAGAAACATAACACCGTCACACAGCTGGAATAAAAATCTATCAACGATTAAAATTCAAATATGCCCACTGCTCTGTTGCTCGTGGGTGCTGTAGTGCTGATAAATGTGCAACAGACTGGCCATGAATCAGAATCAACATAGGAATGCCTTCCACTCACTGAAACCTCACGCTGTATCTGCTTGTTAGAACTTGTTACGACTGAATGACAAATTACTTTTCCACTTCTTTCGTAATGAATGAATCCAAAAAAACAAAAAAACAAAAAGGTCAAGTTTATTTTAAACTTTGCAGGCACATTGACAGGCCTCAAGGAGAGGTAAAGGTCAAGAGGGGGAGCTTCCCGTCTGTCTTTTAGCACTTCTCTGACACGCCTTTACTTAAAATGCACACACTGATTGGTATTCAGAGCAGAAAGCAAGCATGGTGAAGAGATGCAGGCTTAGGCAGGCACCACATAATTCCTGAACATTATTAACTAACTGATAACTCCATCCTTCCCAGTCAGCATTTTCCTCTGGCAGAGTGCGATACTCTTGCATAAGCCAAGAGGCTCTTTTCAGCACAGGATCCAAAAAGATCTGATTTGAGTATTAGAGACAATTATGGATTAAGGGACCTGAACTTCCTTGAGTAAGGTCAGCCATGAGAACAAATTCTGTTGCCTGTGGTAATGTGATATGTAATGGCCTTGACTTGAAAAGGCTGAATTTAAAGCCTCTGGACATTTGGCTTGAACGAGTGAAAATACATATCAAAGTTAGAAGTTTCATTAGAGTCAAATTTGAATGAAAATAAACGCTCCTATATAATAGACCACCAAGTTCACAAAAAGCTAATTTTGCTGTTAAGACGATTACACAAGAGTGCATTTGCAAGTCCATTAAGGTTTTGACCGATTTACCCGGCTCAATCCTTTTTTATAGTTAGCAGTTAGCAAACTCTTTCAACGTTAGCGTCTTTACCCCTATTTGTTTTCAAAGCTGTGAAGGCAATGCTGAATGATGTCTCTGTAGCTTCAGCAAAAGCCACATTTATACAGAGCTTAACCACCACCATGTCGCTCAACAACCTCCACCAGAAATATATACTACATTACAGAATGCTTTCCTATCCCTGTCATCACAGTTAGCATTGGGCACGAACATGCTGAGAAGCCACCAATGTATTTAAGAAGCTATGAATGTGATGTTAAATGCTGGCTCTGTAGCATTCGCAAATGCTATATTACTACAGAGGTAAACTCGTAGCGCTGACACTGAACTCTTGCAACTGCAAATACTCATACAGTTGACGCTCAAAAACCAAAAACTTTGACTCGAACGCTGGATGAAAACAGACCGAAAGCTGTGGTTAACTGGTACTAAGATTGGTGCCCAGAAATAATTTTGTTATTTTGGTAATAAATCTTGGAATATGACCACACCAAGTTCAAACCAAATATCACGTCAGTTTACATAAATTTAAATTATAGTCATTTGAAATTAACAAAACCACTTTGTAATACTTCCCAGAACTACTATGTTAATAAGACCTTACATTGTAAGAAGGGTTTTGTGGATTTCAGTTTCCATTGGTTTTCAAGCTCTGATTTAAAAAGTACATGACAAACCTAGGGTCTGGTTACTCACATATTCATCGGTGTTGGGGTCCTGGTTCTGTGGCTGTTCGGGCGATGGTACTTCACAGTCAGGGCTGTAATGCTCACAGTAGTCATAGGCAGCACGATGGTCTGCTACAATCATTAGCTGCTGGATGTCTCCCTGAAAACCAGAAGAAACAGGAAGACATTAGACTCACTGGACACAAGCCATACATGTGAATAAACAAACAAACAGCAACAAAGATGGCCGCCCTTCTCACTCCCACACACTGGGGAAAAAATTACTGAATATAAACAAATAAAAAGTTGCTGGAGAACATCTGTGTGAAGCATTAGCACATGCAGAACAGGCAGTGGTGAAAGTAGGTCAAGCCAGGGGGAAACTAAAGATGACTAAATGTTGAAGAACTTTGTCCGTGGTCCAAAAGTGTCATTTCAAATCAGAGTCGCGAACAAGCGGCAAAAAAAAAAGGCTTACAACAAACAAGAGAACATGGAAGAACTGACTTCATTTAGCTGTGGAATATGACAAATCACAGACACACATACACGAACAGATGAATGGTTCTCAACAGCCTACATACTGTAAGCTCTGCCCCAGATCTGTAAGGGTCCTGAGTGATTTTGCGTTTGAGCAGATTCTGTTCAAGCAAATGGATCAACCTTGAGAACATGAGCAGACCTGCACTAACAGATAACTGACCTGAGCTGTTTGACTTAAAAGTGTGTTTCCATTTACTCATTTGACATGATGGGGGATGAACCAGAATCAGAAGTTAGAAATTTAAAGAAAGTGAAGACTCAAGGAAGCCGGAACAAAGAAGATTGATAGAGAGAGAGAGAGAGAGAAAAGGGAGAACAAGAGAGTAAGAAGAAAACGGCTCTGAAGGATCCCCAGGCTACGCAGGGAGCTGGGTGTGTGAGTGGGTGTGTGTGTTTGCCACATGTATCTGAACAGCATGCATATGGCACTGAAAAGGCTGTGTTGTGTCTATCCAAACATGTTCTTCCAAATGTAGTGATGTCATCCCACATCAATCAAACACATTGTCAACTAAGTCGAAACAAATATATTTTCAGGGGGGTATGAGAATCCCGAAGCAACGCAACTATGGGAACAAAAGTGTTTTTAATTATGTGCGATTGCCAAAAAATCTGAGATCCGTCAACAGCTCTTCCCAGCTTAAATCCTCCACGGATTGCTCATTTCTGACAAACAGGAACGGACTGTATTTGTGGTCTAACCAGTGATAGTTCTGCATTCGAACACACCACCAAACCGCACTCCCCGTCTCAGATTCTTTAATAACACTTGCAAAACAGCCCACAAGCTCAGCGCCTGGCTTATGTTATCAGCAGGGTTTATGGGGGATGTAGGAAAACAAATCTCAATACTTCCTCCAAGGCAGAAAGCCTGAACTAGCCATTACGCTTCTCCCAGGAAACTTTTAAATGGCTACCTTTGAGGCCTAACTTGATATCAGTACGAGAGTCTCTCTCTCCTTCTCCTGGCAAGACCGCCTGTCGCAGCTGCACCGAACGGGGATGATGGGAATTCAGTGTTTGAAATGAGGTCACATTCAATAAGGAATAAGCCTTCTGCACAACAAAACAGCCCTGACGTCTGGAGCGCCGCAACTGCTTTCCTATTCACATGCCATTCTCCAGTTTGTCTTTCTCTTTTTTTTCTTTCCCACCACTCTCTCTTTCTCCATCTCCCAGAGCAGCCGAGAGGAATGTCAGGGTAGATCCCGTGCCGCAAGGGGTGGGATCGTAATTGTGCCGAGATGAGATGATTAATCATACACCTAAGCATTAATGAGAACATCCTCGCAGCACTGACAGCAGCGTGGCAGCATGTGTGTAATGATGTGTGACATGTACACAGAAAGAGAAAGCGGCGTGTGCATGCTTAGAAAGAAAAGTGCTCTGTTAGAGGGATCTCGCTGAGGCTGGAAAAAGCTGATGGCTGCATTTGATTGTGCTAAGTCTACAGCCAAAGGCATGTGAGAGGGGGGAAAGGGATGAGAAGACGCTGGGGGAATGTGGATCTGAGCTGAGCTGGACTTCTCAGCACAAAGAGTTCTAGCAGTTTTATTTTGTGTTAAAAGTTCTAGCCTATAAAAATGGAAGCCAGGAATTCAGCAACGCATGAAACCAACAGCAGATGGACAGGGACGTAAGAAACGACAGAAACAAGCGTTTCTTCAAGAGGCAGTTTAGTCAACTTAAACATTAAGATCAAATAAGAAGGGAGCTCCAGAAATACACCGGATTCTTCACAAATTTCAACTTCAAAGGGGCTTTTCAAGATAATCTGATCACATATATAAAGAGTAACAGAAGGGTTATTACTTTGGTTTGTACGCCTGCTTTTTACGAGTTCTGTCTTTGGATAGCCTAAAAAAGTCGCAATGCATCAGGGTTCGGTTGAATATGTCAAGTGAGCTATACCGTCTCATACTTAAAAATGATAGCCAAGACCCAAGGCGCCTGTTACCGGGTGATGAGTGCACGGCCCCATAAACGGGGGCTATGGTCCTCCAAGCGGGCAGGCTGGGTTCTAATCTGACCTGTGGCTCCTTCGCTGCATGTTATTCCCCACTCTCTCTTCCCAATTTCTGACTCTATCAACTGTCCTGTCTCTAAATAAAAGCAGCAAAAGCCCAAATCTTTAACACGTGGACACCTGGACATTTCTTGACACACAATCATTGGGATTTTCAGAACTCACTACATATCTAAAGTTACTTTACACTTTGTATGAAAGAATGCAGTTTCATGTGCACCATCCCTAGTCCATGTTCATCAAAGTAAACACTGATAGACATCAGTGTGCAGCGGCGATTCTAGAGTCTGTCGGGGGCCCCAGGCAAAAATCTCTCCAACCAGTGTTCAACACCATTATGTCTGCCAGACGACGCTTACTCCTCTTCCAGTTTTTTTCCCCTGTTTATTTATCTTTGCCACAGACAGGTGTCTAAATTCCTCTAAATGTTTCTTTGGTGACATTCACTGACACAGTTTGGTTTTCACAGAAAGGATGCAAGCAACGATTAGCAGGGGCAACGAGAAGGAGTGCTCAGATGGGGGGGGGGTCCCCTTAGGGAGATTTCCCACTGTCATTGCAAAAAAATGTGCTAATTTTGGGCCGCTGCTTTGGTTGAAGTTTGTGAGCCCTCAAGGGCAGTTGCCTGCCTTGCCTGTTGACAAGCAGCGCCTCTGTCAGTATGACATCATTATACAGTAGGTTTCTGAGACATCTTAAAAACGGTCACAAACTGCGTAATATTCATCCCTTAAAAAAAAACATAAGGGGAACATGCAACTCACTTCACTTCTAAAGCATAGTTAGAATTATGCTAGCTATGCATATATAACTACACAAATTGGGATATGTTAGTGAGTACATCATTACTTGAAACCATACTCGTTCAAACATCCTTGCTTATTTCCTTTTCATCCTCCGTCTGCACACATAAACATACAGCACACGCATTGCTGTAATATACCGCACACCTACACAGAGAAACTATTGTCAAAGTCTTGATCCACCGTGACAACCACTAAAGCTGGTTCTGATTTCCTTTCTTTGAGCCAGGACTGCTCTTTTTCACCACACGTCACTTCACAGACTCTGGTGCCAAACGTTATATAAGCCACTGTTTTACAGATGTAGGAAAGCAGTAAATAATCCGACACTTTACTCCAGCTGTATGCTAATGCAACATTTCTTATTTAGTATTCTGGTACACAGAAACGTAGAGGCTATACTTCTTTATATTTTGATGACATGAAACCACACTTAAACTTTAACGCTTGTGCAGAGTCAGGGATTCAGAATTCAATAAAGCTGATTGCGTAACCAAACACTTAAAAAAGAAAAGGATTTATAGCTTACACTTCAAGTCACATCATGGGAAGCAGATACAGGACACAAAAAAGACTGATTAATACTGCAACACATGCAAAAAAAATCCACACACAAGTGGAACCAATCCCACACCCATACACAACACAGCATAGGGAAGAAAAAAAAAACCCTGAAATTATACAATCACACCCAAACGCCACAGGGAACCATAAAAGACATGCAATCATCTTTCCTATGCGTGAGGGGACGGTGACATTTTTCACTCTGGAGCATCAAGTGGCACATCAGAGTGGTGCTTAAGGGAGAATTTTCAGACAATCACAGGCTGCAGTTGTCAGCATCTCCCTCGCTTCGGCTGAAATACGACTCTTGTACTGGCCAACGCTCGCCTCGTGTTCAGCTCTGGTGGAAAAGCGGAAGAGCAGTTGCCTGTGGCTGCAAGTTTGTACCGTGCACACTTCACATATCCTGCATGTTAAGGAAACTGTTGCATGCACACATTAATTTATGGGTGTGAAGAAACCTGCAATCAGACTTATCCAGAACACTTGTGATCACACAATTCTTTCTTTTTTTGTTTCACGCAAAAAATGAAATCAACATTTTGGCTTTAAACCCCAAACCTCACCCTGTTGACTCCCTCTACTTCACACTCACACACTCATTTGTCCCTGATGGATGTTCTGTGTGTGTCCAGGTGGGGGCAGGAGAGTGCTCCAGTGAGATTAAAGCCAAACATTGTCTCCATCTGAACCTGACCCAGAATCATGCAGGGTGGACCGAGTTCATTGTGTTCCCCCTTCTGAATAAAAAGATTTCACACAAGGGCATGGGAAGAAACATCAGTGCTGTTTCAAAAGCATCATAACACCGCTCATGTTTAATAAATGGAGAGAATTACTGCTACACAAGCAGCTAAAAAAATAACACTCATACCACACAAACTAAAAGCAGGAGGTGACAGGAGCTGACATAGGATTATTTTGACTAGAGGGCGGTCTTTAGGTGATGTCAGTTTCGGGGTTCAGCGTCCCATGAAATTCGCACTTTCTTGGCTTAGAGCGGCATAGCATGAAATAAACAGCAGGAACCAATGCCAGTATTTCTTCGGGCCCTCTGGGATACCTGATAGCGACTCTGTTTACCTTAAACGCCCCACAAAACAGCTTAAAGAAGAAAAACTCCAGTTTTCTCATCACTTTTCTGGTCATATTTCAGCACAGGAAAATTGGGTAGGAGGGCCCCCTCAGAGCAGGATAAGACTCTGGGAGGTCCAAGCTCTGGCT